CCAGAAATCTCTGGAGGTTGCTGTCTTCTGCATTGGCTGAACTTGTTATTTATTGTTAAAATTGTGGTTTAATATTGCAAGAGTAGCTATTTGCTCTTAAATTCAAACTGATACTTTTAATTACATTTTTTTTTAAACATTTAGTGTTAGAATTAATGCTTCCTTTTATCTGACTCAGGTAGACTTCTTTTCTAAAATTCACTGATAAAGAACACCTTTACATGTTTTTGAAAAGAAGTTTGAGCACTTGATACCTGTCAATCATGCAGGATTTTTTTAATTTCAAAATGTAACAGGCCAGTGTTAAATACAGTATAGGAAACTTAGACAAAAGTCCACTGTAGTTATTTCAGTAGGCCCCACTGCTTCTTATATTTTTATTTGATAGAGCTGCTAAAGTTTAAAATGAGAGCATTTTTTTTTCCTTAATTCATATGTTCTAAAAAAGACTGAAATCTCCGCTTTGCAGTAGCTCAAAGAAACAACTCCTGCCTTTGTGTTGTACAAGGCCAGCTTTTCAGTACTGATTACCCAGGCACTGTCAGAAAATTTATATGGAGCTAGATCTGACAATCCCAATTTTACACAAAAGTGGGGCTTTTTATGTAGGAAAAACATCTTTTGCTGAATAGGGATGTGTGTATTTTTCCCCTTTTGACAACTTTGATGATCCATGATTATGACTATATGGTTTTGCTGAGAAGAATGAGTCAGAAAGGAAAAGCTGCTTAATTGATTTGTTTTGCTGCCTGCAAAACATGCAGTGAGGTTATGTAACATATCACAAGAGATCAGGCATCAGGAGGAAAGGTGATGAACAATTTTCTATCTCATATCTCAGCTTTGTTCCAAAAGAGGTGAAGGATGTAGTTAACTTTTTTCAGTTGTAAATATTGTTTAATTTTTAAAGCTGCATTGTAGAGGAGATGCACAGTTGGGAAGGAAGTGTTTGCTGGTGATAGGAAACTGAAACAGCTCCTCACAAGCAAGGCTGAAACTTCATATTGGTCATCAGAAGATGAAAGGCTATGTGTTATCTCTGAGCTGTAATCCTATTACCCTGGAGTGGGAGCTCTGCTCTCCCTGCTGTCCTGGGCTGGGAATATGCAACTTCTTGGCCTAGTGCCCAGATAGTAAACTACCTTTTAATACTCTGCTGTCAGTCTCTTCACAAAGCTTCTGCCTCTAGAACTTGCATTTAGTTACATGATATCCTGCAAAAATCCAGCATTGTTAGGGAGGAGTCACTAATTTTGCATACTTGTAGGCCCTGGTTTTATGTGGAATGGTTATTCTTATTTGCGACATTTTCAGATTTCTGCAATGCTTTTGTGCATTAGAGGTACATTGCGTTTCCAGTGTAAGGAATATAGGTTCAGACAAATTGATTTGCAAGTTGTAATTTTTAAAATTATTTATTCAATACAAGCCTGCAATCCATCTTTATCAAAGTATTTAACTTAGAATTAAGTGTGTTTTTCTGTACACTGATAGCTGATGAGACTGTACTGTTCATTGCAGGAACCATGCTGTAACGTACAGATGGTTATTTCCTTGTGCATTCTCTCTCCTTAAGTTGAAATGTTTGCTGTAGTAACCTTCAATACATAATCCAAACAGGAGTTGTACTTAAAGGATTGCAATATTTGTGTGTTGTTGCATGTAACAGTTAATAATATCCATGTCATCTTGCATTAGCCAGATCTTGAGGGAATGAGTTATTCCAATTTGGTTTTCATCTATTATGTATGTATCTTTTGGAAAGATCAAATTTTGTTAATGAATCCTTCTACGCCTTTCTTCCTTGTCTGCACATAACCATTGAAAATGCCAGTTTGGATTTCTTAGCATAGGACTGAGGTTTAAGTCACTTAATCACAGATGCAGAATCAAATGTATTTAAGCAGAGCGTTTGGAATAAATTGAATTAGTAGTTGAGAGCTAAAACACAGGAAGAGACTGATGGGCTACAGCTACTCAGAAGTTCTGCCTTTTCAAAATAGGTCCTGTAACATAAATGGCAAGTTGACTTGAAGTGTTGGTGTACCCAAATACAGAATTTCCATGTGCAAATCAAGACTGCCTCTACACAATCATTTTTGCTCTGGCTCTGACCTTTGGAGAACGTTTTGTGGAAGAAGAAAGACTTCAGCCAAAACTGAGAAAAAACAAACATGCCCACACAAAGTTGCAAGTGCTTTTTTGTTCCTCCTAATCCAAAGAGGTTTTTTTTCAGTGTACAGTACAGTGATTCATAAATCTTGTGCATGAACAGTAAAATCCTTTCCTACACCGTTCAAAAGAGCACGTTACTTACAGTAAGTCAAATGCATGGGTATTTTTAATAGAGTGCATTGTGGGGTGGAGATGACTCATGCCTTATTCAAAAGGAACTTTAAAAGATACAATTTTTTTTCAGGTGTAACTTGATGTACACTTAAAATGTTTCATCAGTCCTCAGAAATACCCAGTGGAAATAAGCTAATTCTAAAGCTTTTTTCTTTTAAGAGCTGGAAAAACATCTGGATCTAGACCTACAAAATTTTACTATTTTGAGTCAAAACAAAGGCAAATACTTGCTTTTTTTTATAATTGTTAAGAAGCTCATAAAGATAATCACAATGTCTCTATAATAATTCATAGCTTCTAATGAGGTGTTTCAATAGAGCTGCCACAAGGAGGAAATCATAGAAGCTTACTCAAAGCAGATTTCTAGTTACTTTAAGCAAAAGGATCTGGGAAAAATCAAAATGCAAAGTGTTCTGTCAGTAGAATAAAACAGTATATGCTGTAAATGCAGCAAACTCCCAAGCATGTAATCATTCACACTAACTTTGCAATGCCTGTCTTGCTCAAAGGTGAAACTGAACCTGGAAGCAATAACATCTGTTACCTGATGTAGACAGTTTTATTTAAACAAAATATTATTGCCAATATATATTTTGTAAGCAAATTTGTATAAAAATTAATTTCAGCTTTATTTTTTTAAGTATCTGTTAGGGTGCAGTGAAGAGTGTGTGGCTATGCATGCTTCAAAAAAGTACATTTACAGTTAAAATTTGAGTTCTTTAGAAAGGTGCTTTAGGAGCTGTTTTTCTGCACATGTAAAGCTACCAAGTCTAATTCTGTTGTGGTCAGACATCTGTTTCACTTTTTGTGTTTAATTTACAGTGCAGCTCTAGAATGGGAAGGTTGGTATTTCATTCTTGCTACAAAGCATGAAACCAAAACAGATGTTGTTTGTGTTACTAAGCAGATATTTTCCTTTTTATTATTAGAATGTGTGTTGGAAAACTTCTCAGTAGTTGGTTTTCAAATGATGTTATAGAGATTCCTTATCTTTGTTGTTAAACATGGGAGGGCAAATATTGAGGTTGGGAAGATTTGGTTGTTTTTTGTTTTGGAAAGAATGAGATAAAAAGAAATGTAATGGAAAACCTTTACCCTCAACATGAGATGAATCAGCTGGGACTATGCTTTATGTGTTTTGCTGTTACTGCTGTTTTACTGAATGTTAATATAAATGTTTATCTTTAAATATTTTATTATCTTTTGCCACACTGAGAGAATTATTTATAGCCAAGCAAGTAATAATATTTAGACCTCCAAAATTATTCTTAAGAATTCTTACTTGCTGTCTGATAATGGTGTAAAGTCATTAGGTGACTAAGTTCAGGTTTTGGAATTTTTGCTGTGTCCTGTCCTGGGATCATCCCACGTAGGGCCATGGACAATCCACACCAGCAGAGACAGGATGAACCACCTTGTGATGCTTCACATCAGAAGTTGGAATTCCCCTTGTAGGTCCTTGTCTTTTGCTGCTTTGGAGAGAGCCTGTGTCCCTCCTTGCCATTTTATTTCATTTGAATGTCAAAAACTCAGTGGAATAAATGCAGGACTTTGTTTTATGGTCTTCACATACAGTGGGTGAAGTAGACATCAACAAATGCACTTCATTTGTTTGGAGGTAACCACTGGAAATGTCCTACTTGAAAAAATAGTGTTTTTATGATGGCTTGGGAAAAATACACTTTCTTGTTTAAAGCTTGCTGCAGCTTGGACTTGAGCATTTCTTCAAACATAACTTACCAAGAGAATTATTAGAGTATATATATTTTTTTGTGATTAGGTTTCAGCCGTGTTCTGTTTATAAGTAGTATTTCCTGGTTTCTGTTTTGCTATGGAAATAAGTTACCTGACTTGTCTGTAATTTCTTGTGTTTGAAAAACGCCAAAAAAATATTTCAATGCACAGCAGAAATGCCTTTTCCTTGGGTACCCTAAGTCTCGTTTTCCCTTTGCTCGTGGGTGCTCTGTAGCTGTCCGTAGGTCCCTGGTGTCCAGGTGAGAAGTGCGTAAGTGGAGGCTGGCAGCTTTCGCAGTGCCCCACCTTACACGAGTCCCGTCTGTGGGAGTGAGTCCTCGGGCTGCTGAAGCAAAGGGAGCAAAATGCCCAAACTAGCGATGGCTTGGCAGCTCTTCAAGCTGGGAGCTTTTGTACAGCCTCTGGCTGAAGAGGAGCAACCTGCTGCTTCCTGGGGGAGGATCTGGTTCCCTGCGTGGCTTTGGGAACAGCGGTGCTGCCACAACGTGGGGAGAGTCAGAAGGGCAGAAACAGAGGGTAGAGGCTCCTTCCTCCTTCTTGCCTTGCCACGTGTTAATAGATGGTGTTTGAGGAGCAGCACAAAACTTCATCTTAGTGAGGCAGCAGTTATCCTGAGTTATTGATGATGGCTTAAAAAATGTGATGAGAATGAAGTATTTTTAGGTTCTTGCCTTTCATTCTTTCTTGGCCTTGAGAAAAGTTATTAAACCCTTGTTCTACTACATTTTATTTCCTCTTTAATATGCACGTGTTCTCTTTTTGTAGCGGAGGAAACTAGAGGCAGGAATATTGTACAAAATTTCAAGAGAGAGTTGCTTTATTTGTGGGTTTTTTTTGCTGGTGCCAGTTTTCTGATGACATTCATATATATGTTTGTTGTGACTTTTCTTTTACAGGCTCAGAACAAAGAAACGAAAGTTCTGGCTGCTGCAAAGGTGATAGATACTAAATCGGAAGAAGAACTTGAAGATTACATGGTGGAGATTGATATTTTAGCATCCTGTGATCATCCTAATATTGTCAAGCTCCTTGATGCTTTCTACTATGAAAACAATCTATGGGTAGGTATTTTTCCTTTTCTAAATGTTTTTTCTTATTTCAAAAGGTTATTGAAATTACAATTTTTTCTTTATTGAAATATTATTTGTCAGATTTCATCTTAGTTGTCACTGTTGGGATAACTACTCAGTTTCAAAACTAATTTGTAAATTGTGAGTATGATTTAGGAATTTGTCACTGTAGAATTGTGCAAGCCTGAGTCATTTGGTCAGGGGTTTGAATCTAAAATGTGGAAATTAGCAGTTCATTTTGTGCATTGCTAGAGTTCTCAGCTGGTGCTTATTTGTAACAGGAAGACTCAGATTTCAATTACATTAGCACAATTTAAAGTGAGATTCAGAATCCACACCTGAAAAATAAATAATGTGCTGGAAAGGTCAGCCTGTGAAGTACATACTTTAGATGTCAGTGACTTTATTGGCACTCCCAGGAAGGACAGTTTACCAGGACTTGAACCATAATTAATTTACTTAAACCCTGGGTATTTGTACCTTGACGTGCAAAGAGCGTATGTTGGACTGCATGTCCCTGCTGTGCTACATCCTGGGTATTTCCTTGGATTGCTTTAGCTGTGACAAAATAGTTTGTACTTTTAGGTAACCCAGTGCAATATTTATAGGTGTTCTTGGAATGGTACAAAGAATACATGGGTTGGAAGGTTTTTTAAGAGCTGATACTTGAAAAAGATACCTAAAACAAGTAAAAGATGATTTCCTGGTAGTCTTACAAATAAGCTTTATCCTTTGAGCAAATGGTGGAAGTGTAATACCATGTTTCCTGATTCACATTTGTTTTGCTAAGCTCAAAACTTGGTGATCTCAGTGCAGAGTAAAATGTTCTATAAAACAGTAGAATAGTGAAAAAAAATTCTGTGCATAAAGGTCAGTATGAAAGCAAGCAGGCATAGAGGCACAATATGAAACTGAGTGGGTAGGCTTCACTGGCAGAATAAAGATAGAAGTAAACATTTTGAAAATAAAATTGGAGCTACATAGTTACAGTGAAATGCAGGGGCTTGAAAGCCACAAGGATAATTATGTGGTAAATAAACAGAATTTAGTGGGGGCAAAAAAAAGAATGATAGTTGGACATTAAATACACTTTTGCTTTCCAAGATTAGAAACATGATTTCTCTAGCAAAGAGACCTTTGTCAAGTCAAACTACAAATTTTAGAGATACTAATTCTTTATGTACAATTTCCCACACTTACCTACTTGGCACACAGAAGCACGTAAATGGAATGTTTACAGGTTTTACAAAGAATTGCATTATGTAATATATTTGTTGGTACCATTGTTGTGGGGATTAATTGCAATAATAATTTGAAGTATATGTGACGTAAGTGGTGTATATTTAAGTGTTGTGGTACAAGGTATACTTTGAGTTTTCCTCTTTTATGGGCAATTATGCGCTGATTTTAAAATTACTCTACAGAAAAAAAAAAAATAAGATAGCGTGTCCAAGCATATTGACTGTTGAGATTCTGACAAGGAATTCTGACTTCTTAGCTCTCAGACAGATGATAATTTATAATATTTAAAGTTCAAATTAAAGGAAAAAAAACACATAAGGAAGAGTGGGGTATCAGTCTTGGATGAGATTTCGTCTTTCTTGCTCTCCTCATTCTCTTTGTCTCCCCCTCTTTCTCCTTTGTATATATTCTTTCTGTCTTTCATAGCAGCATAGTTTGTGCTCAAAAATAGTTGCAATATATTTCTGTTTCAAAGCGAAACTCGGAACTGGGGACAGACATTTTCTGGTATTATTACATTCTGGGATAAAGGCCTTGAAGTATTGTAGGCATGAAGGAAAATTAATGTAAACATCTGAATTTAGTAATTTTCTATATCTTTTAAAGAGTATTTTTCTGTATTTTCATCTCATCTGCAGCAATATAGAAGATAGCATCAGCTACTGGAAAATCATTTGGCTCTTGGACTTTTCAGTCAGAGAGATTATAGTATAGAAGTAGAGCTTAATAACCGAGAAATGAGTTTGCAGGGATTATGTAAATCACATTACAAGGAGTAGGTTTAAGCTGACTGTGTCATTATGTTTTATAAGTTTTATTATGCTATTTTATAGTTGGATTAAAACTTTTGTCTGAGGGTCTCAAGGCATTTTTCAAATAATTTGCTTGAGCAGCACAGCCCTACTTTTAGCTGGGTAACAGTACCAGTATTTTCCAGGTCAGTAAAATAATTTATTGAGGCCAAATAGTTTGAAACTCTGATCTCCCAATAATACTCCCTTATACAATGGTTCAGTTCAGTGGAACTATTTAATTTCTAATTTCTGTAATTTTTTATTTGTTTATATGCAGATCCTGATTGAATTTTGTGCAGGAGGAGCAGTAGATGCAGTGATGTTGGGTAAATATTTTCAACTAATAATTCTAATACCTTAAAATGATAATATATACTGTAATATTTGTTTCATATGTGGAATTGTTTTGATTTGCAAGTGTTTATGTAATTGGTGTGCTATATGTTTTGAATGTTGGGGTTTAAAAATTAGTATTTACACCTGTATCTTTCATTTTTCAAGTGTTTATTTACTTTTCTAGGCACATTTTTGTCTTTAACCTTTAAGTGAAAGTGTTGTTCTCTGCTTATGGAGCTCTGTGTTCTCATTACATAATCTGTATGAGCCCTTTTCAGGATCTCATTCTTCCCCTTCTACTGCCACCTTCCAACTTACACTGTGATAATTCTTTATATTGCATCTACATTAAAGTTAGGGCTGTTTTCTATGCTTATTCCTCAAATTAAGTAAATGCTAATACCAGTAAGTAAAAGATCTGGTCTTCAGCATCTCTATGTTCCACACAAAAGAACCAGTCTCTAAACTATGTAGCTTTTTCACAGTTCAGATAGGTAGGTGTACATAATTCATAATGAGAAGGGGGTTGGGTTCAAGGAATAAAATCTTTACTGGAAGGAGCAAATATTCTAAGGTAGATTTTTTTTCTGACATCTGATGGTTAGATTACTTCAGATTAATTAGTTTTCCCATGTATTACTATAGTGTTTGCTATGAACGTGTAATGTAAAATGCAAAAATATTGTGATTATTTCTGTCTCTCTCTCGTAGAGCTTGAAAGGCCGTTAATAGAGCCACAGATCAAAGTGGTGTGCAGGCAGACACTGGAAGCACTGAACTACTTGCATGAGAATAAGATCATCCACAGAGATCTAAAAGCTGGCAATATTCTTTTCACATTAGATGGAGACATTAAACTAGGTAAGCATGTTGCAAATAAAACCCTTTCCTGGAGCTTGGCATGGTCTTTTAATTGTCTTTTGCTTAAACTGTAGTTTGACAGAGTTCAATATTTACGTACTGAAATACCAATCTGACAATGAGAGGTTTTTCAGAAACAAGTGGTTTGGTACTATCAAGGAAATAAAAAACAAACAAAAAAACTTGAGCAAATATCCTGACCATACTTGTCACATCTTTCATATATGAAAATCAGCACAAGAAGTCGTCATAGGTCTTACTGTTTCTTAGTATAAAGTTCCTGATTATACTTGCCTTTACTGTGATAACATCTGAACTTCCCTTTGAAGTTCTTAGCTTGGAAAGGGAACATTCTTCACAATCATGAAAAAACTGTACCTTGTACTGTTGTCTCTTCCTTTGAGAGAGATCTCTTAATTACCCAGCTTAGTTTTTTCCATGCCTTTTTCAATTGTTTTTTGCACTCAAGTTAAGACAGACCACTCTGGAACAAAATTAATGCAGTTTACTGGTGTTGATTTCTGGGGTTTTTTTAATCTCAGTTTAAACAATCATCCACATTTTTAGTCTGATGAGGATTCCTCCATGTAGAACTGACGAATGGCTGCTGGTGGTGAATAGCATCCCTTCATTCAGCCAGGAAAGGGCAGGAATTATCTGGATCCACTTTGTTTCAGGGTAAAATGTGTATAAGCTGTCAGCTTTTACAGTGGCTCTACCCATAGCATAGTTCTATGACATCCCTGCCCATGCTCAGGTTTCAAAGCCTTCCCCCTGCATGGTGTATGAGCAGTTGTATTTCTTTGGATACACAGAGGGCAAAGGTAAGGAGAATCAGAATATTGCCATGGGGAACTGGGGCTCTAAATCTGCAGCCTTGATACAGACTTTCCTTTTAAATGTAAGCAAGATATGTCCAAATTCAGAAATATATCTCCTGCTTAACTCGTACTGATGAGTCTCAGCTGGGTACTGTGCACCTTCTCTATTAGGAAACTGAGAATACTTAAGAATCTGCTTTGCTATATTGATCAGTTCAGTGTGATTGTGCTTCTCCGTGGATCCCTTTTGTACAAGATTATTGCTTGTACACACAGTCCTTGCATCTGGCTTTCTTCTGCTCTGCAGAGTACATGGTGATTTACTGGTGTAGCTTTTCTTTGAAGCCTGAACATTTAGTGTTGCACTGGGGGTCACATGCCCGATGTTTAAATGTAATAGAACCACTGTCTTAGCTTCTTGGCACTGCTGTAAAAGAAACCACAGATCATAGCAGGAGCCTCATGGTCAGAGAGTCATTTGTTTCAGTTCATTTCACATGACCTGGCTTCTCCTCATATAGACTTGGAACTATTTTAAGATTTTGTCAAGCTAAGCTGGTACACAGCACCTTGCAGGCTGTCAGGATGCTACTTAACAGTTCAGACCACAGGGAGATTTCTTCCACACGTGCATTTGGTGATACATTCAGGTTTACTAATTAAAAATTCTAAAAAAAGACCTGATTTAGTTATGAAAAATGTACAGCATCCTTTGAAGGAGCACTTTACTCCTTAGAAACTACTTGTATTTGAATTCTGTTATACAAAGAAATGGGTAATTCCTTGTTTTACAGATGTGTGAATGGCAAGTAAATTTCTTTTATTGCATTTTATTTTTATATGGATCTGAGTTTTACTATTTCATCACCTGTAGTCCCTCAAAATTTCTGTTTTTTGCCTTTGAACCAATAGATTTTGTCCTGATTTTTTTTCCACAGAACAAAATTAGACTTCTCAAGTATTGAGACCATCAAGTAATTTTGTACAGATTAAAGATGGCAACATATGGCTCTTTGTCCCTTTGCTCTAATCTCTAGATCTTCATTAACAAAATTACATCTATTACAAGCATATAATACTTATTTAAATGTATTCTTTTTTTAAGTAAGAGATGTAATGCTTTATAGACAACTAATTGCAAAGGGGTAAAGTTGTTTTTTGGGTAGATATTACATGAAAAGTACATATGCAAGCTTTCAGATACTTATTATAAAATGAAAAATCACGTGGAAAGAAACCTGTAAGATGAAGGGGAAATGTAACTTCATGAAGATTTGAGTCTTGAAATTAAAAATTGGATGAGTTGTTGAATTAATGATATAGTTGATACCATGTTTGATGAATACAGACTTTATAGGCTAAACAAATTAATTTTTAATTGAAATAATTTAATGCACTTTTCCCTGCAGTCAATACATATTTTGCTTTTATCCCATACAGCTCAAGAGTAGCATTATGGTGGTTTGGGCTTTTTTTAAGAAATGTAGAATAAGTTTTATTCAAGATCTTTTATTATAAATGATATGACATCTTGGCACTTGGCTATTAGAACACAAATATTTTTATTTATCTTTGAAGTTTTAATACTGAAGAATGTTTGTTCTGGAACGTATACCATTTTAAAAGACAATTGTAAAGTTAAAAAAAAAATAGTATGTTTTCCATCACCCCATTAATAGTATTTTACTATTTGCTTTAAGCGGATTTTGGAGTATCAGCTAAAAACACCAGAACAATACAAAGAAGAGACTCCTTTATTGGTACGCCATATTGGTAAGTGCATTCTTTTGCTGACTTTTTAGTATGAGCTAGTATCTTAATGTTCCTTTTAATTTGATATTAGAGTCTTGATAAATACTTGTAAATATACTGACGGTATAATGTGCTTCTAGCAATGCTTCAGTGAATGTCTGTGTTTAGAACTGTTCTAAGAACAGATCAAAAAGCATTTTCTCATCTGAAACTTTGTTGCTCTGTTTGCAGGATGGCTCCAGAGGTAGTAATGTGTGAGACCTCTAAAGACAGGCCATACGATTACAAGGCTGATATCTGGTCTCTTGGCATTACTTTAATAGAAATGGCTCAGATAGAGCCACCTCATCATGAACTAAATCCCATGCGAGTGCTGCTGAAAATCGCAAAATCTGATCCACCGACATTGGCACAGCCTTCAAAATGGTTTGTATTTTATTGGCAGCTTTCCCACCCCAGTGTAAGGCATTCCGAGTCATTTGTTTGCTAAATTTGATGAGCACAGCCCTGTGGAACTATGTGGCGTATCTTTATGCATTAAGGCAATATATATGTATAAGTATACAAATATATGTCTTCTCACACAATTGGAACTTTTTTGGTCATAGTTCTGTATAGAAGCTTTTATACAGAAGTATTTTACAGGTTTTGCCTAAAAATGTATGGAAGTAGCTTTTTTACAAATGTAGTACCAGATCTGAAGGCCATCTAAAAGACTGGGTGAAAGGAAACTGAAGAATTTTTATATTAAGAAAATATTTTTAAAAGCCATTATCTATTTGGTCGATTTAATATCTTCACATGATTCAGTTAGTGATATAGCAGATGAGGTGTATTAATAGTCCTGAGCAAAAAGTAAATTCTTCTGATTATGGACAAACCTTTTTGAGATTGTATTTGTGCTGTATTGTATTGGTCTTTGCATTTCTATATTCCCTTTGTGTTTTCCTGCATCAGTAGCAGGACTTGGAGTTGCAGTGAGGAGATTCATGTGAACCTAAAGAATATTTCAGTTTATATGCTAGTCTGTTAAGACAGAAGAACAACCACTGCCTGTTTGCTTGTTGTGTAGGTCATCAGATTTCAAAGATTTTCTGAAGAAATGTTTGGAAAAGAATGTAGATGCAAGGTGGAGTGCAACTCAACTTCTACAGGTAGGAAGAGTTAATTGTTCAGAACTCTTGTTTAAAGGCAAAGCATATTTTGTACTTTCTTAAAAGCAGAGCAGTATTATAGTAACTGTTCAAGTATTTTCAAATTAGGTGTTTGCCTACAATCTGTTTTTAACATTGATCCTTATTTGGTAAAATTTGATTAAATGATACCAAGCACAGATCAGGTTATTAGTTTAATATATTTTGCTGTAATAAAACGAATTACTTCATGTAAGAAATTATAGTTTGATACTTAGAGTGAATGAAGGAGTTGTTTACGTCTGTGGCCAGTTGCTGACAGGTGTTTTAAGAGCTTTAGGGCTCAGCCCTCCTCTGTAATGCTGTCACTGCAGAACAGCTGAACAGGAATAGATGTGACCAGGTACATTTGATTGTGTTTAACGTCAGCACCTATTTGCTTTATCCACAATCTGCCTGGCATATGCTGAATAGATTTAAGCAGCAGGGCCACGCAGAGAAAGAAGATTCAGGCAGTAGGAGAGGAACAGGTACCTGCTTGCTCTTAAAGAAAAAAGTAGAATTCTAGTTCATGTTAGGAAAAGTTGCTGTAAAGACAAAGCACATTTTTTTCTAGAAAGTATATTTTCTAGGTGAAGCTTGTCAACAAATAATTTAACTGTGGAGCTGAAATGAAACCTAATTCCAAGAAAAATAACTTTTTTAAAAATCTTTCTACTTCTGTTCTTTGGATTGTGAAAAAGGTCAGTATAAATGAATCATTTGTATTTTTAGCAGGTGTGTTAGACTATTTCAATAAAAATGTTTTCATTTAAAGACTTCTGCAGAAGAAACACAGTGGAACAGTTATGTTAATTGTGAATCTTCAAATGTGAAGCAACCAAAGTAACACTTCGCTAAAGTTATGTTTCTTTCAGATTATGATTTTCCTACTGTATATTATGAAGCCACCATTTAATATTGTGCTAATTTTTTTTTGTTTTCACAAGCATCCATTTGTTACTGTTACTTCAAATAAACCAATAAGAGAATTGATTGCAGAAGCAAAGGCTGAAGTTACAGAAGAGGTTGAAGATGGTAAAGATGAGGATGAAGAAGAAGAAACAGAAAATTCTCTGGTCAGTTCAAAATTTACTTTTTTTAATATGCGTCGCAAATTTCCCATGGAGAATTCAGTTTCAGTTCTCTTAGCCCAACTTTGACATCAAATCTTCTAGGAATAACATCATAAAGATACTCTAAACATATTACAAAATAGGTAGCCAGCAATTTCAAAATTAGCATGTTTGAACTACTTAAAAACTACCAATAAATAATAGCTAATGAAAATGAATATCTTAATTTTTTACATGTATATGTGATATTTTAAAAAGGGGATATTGGTTTTTATGTAAGTGGTTTTAAGTCATAATGACTGGGTGAATGAGGAAACGTGTTTGTATATCATAAAGTGTAAAAGATTAAGAAAGGTCTTTGACTGTTATGCTGTAAACTAAGTTTGTGATTTTATAGTGTGGCTATCAAAGGAAAGGAAAAAAACACGTATTTTGTAATGAATGTAGTTCTAAAGATGCTTTAAGACTCTTAAGAGCGTGAGTGTGGTTGCTGAGAGGGAAGACTCTGATGTCCAGGAGTGAAAGTTGCAGTGCACCCAGGCCGTGCTCCTGGAGCTGCTGTTCCTGCACTACTGGAGAAGTCAAGTGCTCAAGCAGATGCCTCCATTCCCCCCTCACCCATCAGCACGTTCCTCACATCCCCTGACCTTCTTACTGTGTTCCCAGCCCACCCTGCGGGCTCCAAACTTCCTCCCCAGCAGCAGCTCCCCTCCTGTGGATCATCCACCACCTCCTTCCGCTGATGAGCTGCTAAGCCATCCATCCAGGAGGGCTGGAGTCCACCCTGGGACTCAGTCAAGTATCTCACAAGGAGAGTTGTAGGAAAGTGTGAGGCAGAGCCCCTCATGTTATTTAATTGAGGTAGTTTTAAACACTCCCAGGAGATCAATACTAAAACAATTACATGAAGAAATATTTTAAATGCAATATTGCTAATTGTTTCCTGTATGCTTGGGAAATCCTTAAGGTAGGAAATGCACAATCAAACCTGTTGCTTGCTGCAACAGCTAACTTAGGATCAGAAGCCTGATCTGCAAATTACAGGATTCTAGCACTAAATACAGACACATATCATGGCCACTTTGAAGAGTGAAAGGGCAATTGTGGTTAAAATGATGCTTTATTACTATGTTCTTTTGGATGTCTCTGTGGAATCTGATAACATTTATTCATATTATGACAGTGGCAATTTCTGGTAACTGTTTCTGTTCTAGTCCTGTATTGCTGCTTAATCAGATCTGCTGGAGGTTTTCACCATTTTAATGGCGTTTCAACATGATTAAAACCAGATGAAAAATTTTCCAGCATTTTTAGCAAAGAGCACGAAGTGAAGCAGAAGAAGGTCTTAATATTGCATTTTATCAGTGCTGCACTAACTAAAGCTACAGTTTCTTCCTTGCCCAGCGGGCACAATGTTAAATCTTTTAAATTCAACTGTTGCTGAGACCGCTGAGGAGCTGAACTGATTAAAAAAAAAGGAATGTGAAAAGAAAAAGACCCTTGAAAAGTAGCTGATGACCATGATCCCTTTCCCTTGATCACCATGAAACTTTCTGTTCAGCCTGTCTGCAGTTCATGCATTTGTTCTGTGATAGTCCAAGGAAGGACTCTGAGGTTATTAAATGCATATAACTGCTTGTGAATACAATATTGATCTCTGTTCACATATTCTTCCCTAAAACTGTGCTTTGATTAAGTTACGAAACGATTAAATTTTTTCTTGCTTTAATTTTTTAGCAGTTACCTGCAGAGAAACGTGCATCCTCTGACCTTAGTATTGCCAGCTCTGAAGAGGATAAACTTTCACAGAATGCTTCTGTCCTGGAATCTCTCTCTGAGAAAACAGAAAGTAATGCCATTGAGGACAAAACAACTGGACATGAATCTGAGGACATTAAATTTAGGAAAACAGTTGATAACATACATGATACTCCCATTAGTGATGTGAAAGTGCAGAATGGTTCTTTGCCAACTGGTGAAGATGAGCAAGGCAAAATGGTGCCAGCAGAAAAGAATACAGAAAGCCTGGAAAAAATGCATGAGGATACAGAACCTCAGAAAGGAGGTAAAGAACTTGATGTGGGAATAAAGAATGAACCAAACTTAACAATAGAGAAAGAAAATTCCATGGCAGTTGAACAGACAGAAGATGACAAACTGAAAGTAGTACCTGTAACTGAAGGTAGGGTAGAGACTGAAGAAGGCATTCATAAGGAAACTGGTGAAAAAGAAGAGGAGAGGAGAACGGATCTTTTGGATGGTGAGGAAGAAAAGGTCCCTGCAGAAAACAGAGATACAGAGCAACAGGAAGATAAAAGTGGAGCTCAGAAAGAGGCAGTAATAGATACCAGTACAGAAACTCTGCCTAATGCTACAGTTAAAGTGTCTGATGAAGAAAAGGAACTAATAAAGCATGGAATTGACAGCATTAAGGAGATAGGTGCTGTTGCTGAAACACCCATCAGTGATGGGGATAAAATACCTGAGCTGGAGGATAAGCCAGTGGAAAGTCAGGCTAAGCAGGTCCATGAGATAATCAGCTCTGAAGAAACTCTATCAGAAAGCCAAGATAAAGTGATTGAAGTAGACAAGAAACTGGCAGAAAGTGAAAATGAGGGTATCAGTAATATAAACAGCACAGAGGAAACAAGGATCAAAGACTCTGGAAAAGACATCATAGATCAGAAGGCATTACAGAACAAACCTGAGGATATTCCTGATAAGCTGGTGGATAAACTGACTGGAATAGACCAAAATTCAGGAGAGCACGGACCTGAGAATATGCAGGAAAACAACATCCATATAGACAAAGAACATCCAGCAGTTACCTCTGATGAAATAATGAAGAATAAGCTTCAAGATGCTGTCAGTGAACAAGCTGATGACTCTGAAGTCACTCCAGTTCCCAGTATTAGCATTAGCACTGAAGAAAATGAGAAGGTCAAGACAGATAATCAAGGCAATACTGAGACTTTACAGCAACTGGAATCTGAGAATTTGAAGGAAAATGATGTGGATTCAGGCACTGGTTCTACAGCTGATAACAGCAGCATTGATTTGAACTTGTCCATTTCTAGTTTCCTTAGTAAAAACAAAGAGACAGGATCGATATCTTTACAGGTAAGTGTAAACATATATTTTTTAATATAAAATCTCATGTGAGTGTAACCCTGAAATTATCTTCAAGGGTTACCTTTGCTACGAAGTATTGAGGGAGAAACCAGTGTGGCACATATATACAAAGCTTTGTAGAAAGCAAAGCATTCTAAATTGCACCATACAACAGTGTCTGGATTATTTGAAGTTGTGCTAATTAGTTTCTTTCTGTAATGCATAATTGTATAACTTAAAACAGCAAGTGTCACAATATTAAGCATGAAGATTTGTGAACAGTTGTAGGTCAGAGCTGATACTCAATACCAGCTAAATGCACAGAATTCTTGTTCAATGGGAAAAATCTCTTGGAACATCTAATCTTACACTGAATTCCTGTCACTTCCATCTTCCATCTCTCTGTTTGGATTTGGGAGACCCAAGGCAGACATTCTGCTGGATTTGTTTATTTCAATCAGTGTTCTCCTGTGGTTGTACTGTGTCCATGCCATTATGTCACTACCAGTGAGCTTACTTGGAGGAAGCAAATTCCAGACTATGAATTTTATTTGTAGTCTTTGTATTAATATGAATATAGCCATGTTAGGGTAGTAACTGTGTAACATGGGCTTGAAGGGAGGAAGGAAAAACAAACCTAGAAAGACAACCAAACAGAAAAATCATTGATTGGCATAGCTGTGCTGAACACGAGGGTTTTTATAGTTGCCCTGACACAATGGATATGGTGCAGTTTCAGCTGGAGTCCCTCTTCTTTCAATGAAACAACAGCAGCTCTAACAACTGAGACTTCTCCAGTTGTCAGCAAGATTATTATTATGTGATTTTTGGCTAATATATATATATATAAAAAATAAATTCACTTGTTTATGTCCAAAGCAGGAGGAAGTAGGTGAGTAAATTTTTATCCTGTTTCAGAACTGATTTTCAGAATTAAATACCTATTGGTGACTGGGGAAATCATGGTCAAAAACAAACAGTAAATGCAGCTGTCTTCAATAAAACTGCATCACTTCTCTTCAGAGTTTCTGGCTTAATTTTTTTTTTCTTGTTCTTTGGATAATCAATAATTGCAGTTTTCCTTTCCTTACGAGAAAGTTTCAGTTTATTGGAATTTTTCAAATTCTCACTTGATTAGTAAGATTAGTAAGCCACCTGGTAAGTGAGAAGGACTCTTGATGACTGTATAGAAGACATTCCCAGAAATATTTGATATAATTCAATATTAACAAAAAGAGGAAGAAAGAATATAACCTAAATAAATACATAATAATTTACCAATGCTTAATTTAGGAAACAAGAAGGCAGAAGAAAACATTAAAGAAAACTCGGAAGTTTGTCGTTGATGGAGTAGAAGTGAGTGTCACCACATCAAAAATAGTTACTGAAAATGATTCAAAAAGTGAAGAAATGAGATTTCTACGGTAAGTGTTTTTAAAAGTAAAATTTTCAAGAGGTTAATAGCTGATTTTTTTTTTCTTTGAATAAAACAAAGGGGCTAATGATCTTAGTTATATTTGGGGTTAATTTACTTTTTTTTTTTTTGCAGAAGTGAATGTAAAGTGTTTCTTATTAAGACAATCAGTTCAAAATTAGTTTTACTGGGCCAAATTTGCCAATGGTCCTTTTTGTTTTTTGTCATTTTCTACTTCTTATGTTTTCCCATCAGTATAAAATGTTTTTTGTCCTTATTAGACGTCAAGAGCTCAGAGAGCTGAGACTTCTTCAGAAAGAGGAGCAGAGAGCCCAACAGCAGCTCAGCAATAAGCTTCTGCAGCAGCGAGAGCAGATGTACAGACGTTTTGAACAGGAGATGACAGTGAGTTTCTGAATTTTGGTGCTCTTCAAGTATGAAATCTTGGTGGAGTAGGCAGAATAGTGCTGACAGCAATCAGGTGTTTCCTGCCATGATGGCTCTAGCTTAGCCTTCATTCTTAAATAAAAGGCAATACTTTCCATTGTGGGGTGCCCAGCCTGTGCTGGAGCTTGTCCATCATGGACATTCCTTGCTGTGGTACAGCACTTCACTTAACAGGACTCGGCTTTCTAAAAACAGGTGCCAAATTATTTTTACAGAATAAAAAGCGACAGTACGATCAAGAGATAGAGAACCTGGAAAAGCAGCAGAAGCAGACGATCGAGCGCCTGGAGCAGGAGCACACAAATCGCTTACGGGATGAAGCGAAGCGCATCAAGGCTGAGCAGGAGAAGGAGTTGTCCAAATTCCAGAATGTGCTGAAAAACAAAAAAAAAGAGGTAAGAGATGATGCTAGTATAGAAAATAAGAGTATGGACATAGCAAACAGTTGAGATTAGGTCTCCCAGAAGCTTTGTCAATTCCATGCTGTACTGGGGTTTGGAAGTGTCACTACCAGTCAGAATTGTTTCTTTTGTTTAACTAAAGTGAAATACAAACAGCTGACAGGAAGCTTGAGGTATTGACTTAATCTAGAAAACATCATCAAGTTATAAGATTTTATTTTTCATAGAATATTTAATAAAATAATTTCTCTATATAATACTAAATCAAGAAAAAATATTTTAATAAAGATTAGGAAAAATATTTGAGGTTTCTACTTCAAAAACACCCAGCTATAGTTACTTATTAAATGCTTACCAAATTAGAATTTTGAAGACAGTAATTTCAGATATGTTTCATTTTTGTTAATATGTTAGGTTTTTTTATTGCATGTGTGCTGTAATTGTTTAGAATTTTTTTACAGGAAGTGATAGCAGCAATATGGATTTGGTTTCTTAGCTCAAAAAGTAATGCTGGGAAAGAGAAGTCTGGATAACCTAAAATCTCTTACAGTTAATTTCATAAATGTCATATAATTAAGGCAAAAAGACTGACACTGACATTTGGTTCAATTAATTTACTTGCATTGGATTAAGAAAAGGTGATACGTTTCCATGTGGATTTTCAATCTTAAAAGCTGTTTTATTTCATTTTTGGTTCAATTGCGTAGTGCCCATTTGTATATAAATGTCTCTAGTGTTTGGTCTAATAGTTACTAGACTCAGAGATTTCTTTAGAAAGCAAAACTGTCAATGCTTTTGCATAGAATGATCCTGTAGCACAAAAGTGCATTGAAAAATAACTTGTATTCAGTTTGAACCGTATGCTCATATGTAAATAACAATTTTTCTTCTTTTGCGGTACCTCTTGCATTTTGAGTCTCTCTCTGTTCACTGGTGATTGGGTCCTATGTGGGAAACTGGGAGAATTTTATATATTGCTCTGAGCTAAAAGCAGTTCTTTCATGGACACAGGAATAGCATGTGGTGATTTGGACTCTGTTTTCTGATGATGCTTCCACTATTAAACAAACAGGCATTTGTCTCTGGGTGCATAGTTTCGTGTTTAAAGCTTAGAAAGGCGATGTACAGTTTAAAGGAAAATGCAGCTGCTGCTCTAAAACTATCAGTGTTATATTGGAGTGTACAGTGGTACATTTTTGTAATTCTGAAAAACAAAACTCATCAGCAAATTAACAGATTAATTTAGCCAGGTTATATTTAGAATCTTTCTGGTAATCTTGTCTAAATCACCGTGTACTGAAGCACGTTCCATCCCAGCATACGTGTCACGGAAAGTTTCTTGAAAGCACACTTATTTATTGGTGGGTTTTGCTTTAAATTCTTCAGAACCAAACACAACCAAATAATGTTTTGTTTCCTTGTATGATTATTTTGAAGACATAAGAAGTGTAGATGTCATCTATGGTCAGAGAAACTAATAATGACATCTTGTAAATTTAGGTTAGAGACAGTGTCAGAAATAGCTGGTTTTCAGTGGAAGCTATTTTAAGCTTCCAACCATTTTTCACAGCTTTGTGTGAGGTAACATACTCTGTAGTCCTTTTGCCATAGTGATTCAAGAGAACACCACTTCTGCAGGTGGGGTTTTTCTTAACTATTGACTCTCCTGGCAGCTGCATGGAAGCACAATCGAGGCACTGCCATTTCTGAGGGCACTGGGCAGCATTTGCATGCAAAAAGCACTGGCACATCCCTCCTCTCTGCACTGCTGGCATGCATAAATCACCTATTGTTCTTTCTCTTTTCATTAAGCTCTTTCACTAAACTAACATCCCTGCCACTGAAGTAATGCATGCTTCCCACTACCTCTAGTGCTTGACCTGTATGTCCCTATGTTCACAGTAGTGCTTGCTGTGGAGACAAAGTGTTCTTTTTGCCACCTTCTGCATGCTTATATATACTGTAGGTTTTATGTGAAGTGGAGAAAGCACCAAAAGAGCTGAGAAAAGAGCTCATGAAACGCAAGAAAGAGGAGCTTGCACAAAGCCAGCATGCTCAGGTAACAATGGCAGCTTCAAGCTACTAAAATACAAAAGGCAGCAGTATTCACACAGCTTGATGATTTCACTTCTGGTTGTTGTTGAGTGAATATGGAACTTAACTCAAACTAACCCTATGAACTGCTCTCTTTCTTCAAGTACTCCCATGTCACAGACTTAACTGGATAGAAATGTAGGAGCAGTGGTTGCCGGGTTTGTACTGTCAAGTGTAGGATTTTGTGTGCTCTACTGATAAAGAATGGTATTTTTCTGCAGCAAGTTTGTTTACAGTGCTTTTATGAGTGGTAAGTACTCCATGGGTCCTTCAGATTTTAGAGGTTATAGTCAGGAGGAAATTTTGAACTACACAAGCGCAGAGGAGGAAAATGTATCTAATATGTAAGCATGAGACATCTTGTTTATAGGAACAGAACAGATTAGGTAAAATGTTATTTAAATGTCAAAGTGTAGGTGTATGGAAACTTTACAAAACATCATATGTGATTTTATGCCTTCAGACTTGCTGCTTTTTTATGACCCAGCTAGAAAGAGGGCTAGTATTTTAGAAAAATATTGGCTTTGTGATGCCCACAGCTTGTACAGAGTGAGTTTGAACCACAGCAGAGCAGGTTTGGATTGAGTAACTTAAAGATTAAACGTTTATGTGAGTGACCTAGTAGAAAATAATAGCAACTTTATTCGATTATGTGTTTAATTTAAGAGGGGATTTCCCAGGATAGAAGGTGATTGAGTTGCAACACTTTCCCCACACCAAAGGTATCTGTCTCTAAACTTTTTAAGGAAACAAAAATCTAATTTTTCATAGTGTTTGTAATCACATGGTTAATTTTCCTTGCTGGTTTCAATTTGTTGAAGAAAAGTGAAAGAAGATTTTAAATGTGAAATATCCTTACTTGGAATAAGTACTGAGCAAGGTGCAGCTGTTTAGTTTTAGAGTGTCTAGAACTTCCATCAGCATCTACTTGTGTGATTAGCCCTGATGTTTCAAATGTTTATTACTAATGTACAGCAGATCTCATTTCTTCCTTTCTTTTTTTAAGAATAGAAATAAATTTTACTATATTATGACACAGAATTACATTGTGTCCCACAGGGTGTTGCTCAGGTTATGATTCAGTCTTTTCAGTTGTCTTCATGTACACTTTTCAACGCACAAATGCAGGATGTAAGTCTTAAAATACAACACAGTGCAAGTTTATCTTCCTAATTTTCCAGATGTGTGTTTTCTCTTTCTGCTCATATGTGCTGATCAATGTCACTACTGTCTCCAAACTGGCTAGCACCAATTTAGGTAACTGTGCACTATCCATAGTCAAAAGATCCAAAAGATAGTAGTTACTCAATCTGAGCAAGACACTGGGGGTTCACACATGCAACATGATGTTTGTTCAGCACATGTGAGAAATGTTGTGTGACTTGTATGCTGTGTGTGCAGTGAAACCATGTATTTTAAAGATGTTTGAGTTTAAGATACTTACTGGTCCTAACAAATGGTACTTCAGAAAAGGTTGACTGCCTTGCACTGTCTGCCTTTGAACCACCCAACACATTCTTTAGTAAAGTCGATGACTTTTTTTTTTATGTGATACTTGAGTAGATCTGAGAAGTGGAAAGGCCAGTGTGTTGCCTAGTTTATCTTACAGCACTAGCAGGTATAAAACTTCATAAGAGTTACTCTGTAGAGAGAGCAGCAATGATACTTACGATTAAATGTGTAAAGCTCAAGCATAATCACTTTTTCACCATGGCTACACTAGAACAACTTTCCCCTGCTTCCTACAAATCAAAAATTTCCCAGCAAATTAAACACCGTGTTAATTATGTGTCTGCACCCTCAGAGTATTACACCGGTAACACAGCTTTTTATCCTTTTCAGGTATAAAGGAAAAAACAGTATTTTTTGTCACTACACAAATTTAGTTAGGTGTGTCTGACTTAATTTATGGACATCACCTTCCAGTTCTTTTTGTACCTCAGGTCTGTCTCTGTCAGCTTAATTCACTTCTGGTTTTATGTTACCTGTCTCAGTGTAGCTCTGCTGTCCACTAAGAGACATGAAAGTCTCATCTATTAATAACTTTTTGTGAAGATGAAAACCACGATTATTTTGGTCATAATAAAAAGTACTTTTAAAGAACATTTAATTCCATTTGTCCTGGACTTCAGCAGCCCACCTTGGCTCTGACAAGACCCTGCTATTGTCCTTTCTTTTGACCTTGATATCGTGCTAGAAGCATCTGATTCAATTTCCTGTTCTTAAAGCAGGTGTGAATGTGTGTGTGTGTGTGCATGCTTGCATGCTCATAGCTGTGGTCTTTAATAGTTGCAAAGAAGAAAGGCAGCAGTAGGTCTTGGGGCATGGGAGGGGGACTCAATGCTGTCTGCTTTTCATGATGGGATGTAACAGTGATACACCTGGATAATGGGACGATGCAGGTGATAAATCCCTTTGTGAGGAGCCTGCTCAGCTGGGGTGTGAGCAAGTTAGGGCCCTGCAGAACATGGGGTGTCTGCACAGTGGTCCTGCAGAACTCCCAGACTCAACAGCCCTAAGGACAAGATAAACCACACAGATCTGAAACCCAACTGTGTAAATAAATAGGCTTTAACTAATCACCCAAAGCAGAATAGCCATACATACTTTTATTTCCTTACATACATGAATAATTAACCATTTTAGAATGGGTTCAACTTTAGATTCAGTATTGTCTTTGCTAGCTCTGAACCTGCATCTTATTCAGAGGAGAAACAAGAGATGGAATGAGTTGCAGATGGCTGGCTAGATTGTTACCTTTGGCCTTAATTCTGAAGGTATTATTGAAACATGAATATGCTCTTATCTACTCTGTACTTAAAAAAAAAAAAGATGGATAATTTGGTAGCCAAGGCTCACTAGCTCAAACTTTCATAGATGTATTTGTTTTCATATATAGCTAATGCTGAGAGAACTGGGAGTTTCATTAACATGTAATGTGGTTAGAAGAACCCAATTTAATTTACTTCTATTGGTTTTTACCAGGAGCAGGAGTTTGTGCAGAAACAGCAACAAGAACTGGATGCATCTCTGAAGAAAATAATTCAGCAGCAGAAGACAGAACTGGCCACTATTGAACGAGACTGCCTCAACAACAAACAGCAGCTCATGAGAGGTATCCAGTACCAGGCCCTGTCTTCAAAAAAGGCACTGGTGTTTTAATAAAACAGTGGTCTTCCTTCACTTTATGAGATAAAAAATATTTATGACTAATATAGAACTGTAATAAAAATGTTTGCTATGAAAGAGCATTGTTTTTAAAACATACTTGTAGGCCACTTCTGAACGTGCACCACAAGTGGGAAGTATGGGATGGGATTGCAATTCGTGAACCAATCTTTCTCTTTTTTCCAGCTCGTGAAGCTGCATTCTGGGAGCTGGAGGAGCGGCACCTACAGGAGAAACACCAGCTTCTCAAGCAGCAGCTCAAGGATCAGTACTTCATGCAGAGGCACCAGCTGCTTAAGAGGCATGAAAAAGTTAGTGTTGACTTTGACACTTTCTGATGTGTATTATAATACCCATTTTTTAATCAAGTAGTCTTAGGATCTCTCTTGGTGCTGTTTGTTTGCATAGGCAAGACCCAGACAAGTATTTTGAAGCTGTTATGTGTTCTGTTGAAATTAAAAAAATCTTACTCATCTTACTTGAATATCTTAGTAGTATATAGAAGTATAAATAATGATGTTTTCCCTTTCGATTCTTTTTAAAAAAAAAACCCAACCAACCACAACATCAGTCTTTTACTATAAAAAAATGTCAAATTCTGGTTATCCACCAAAACCCATTTTGATTTGTGTTTAAACAAATCTGTTCAGAAGTAAATAATCCTGGAATTAAATGAGCAGAATGAAGTGGGTTAGCTTCTTGGCGAGTAGCTGACAACTGTTTCTTTATAGTTAAATCCTTATTTTCCGCAAGGCACTTTGCTTTTTATAGCATACACAAAAGCAAATAATTTGATTTCTGAAAATGTAAACCAGTAGGGAGGTGTTTGGTGATCAGAGCATGATCAGCCTCCACTGAAGGCTTGTTCTGTCCACTCTGGTTTATCCCATGCAGGCTGTTGCTTTCCCCAGCTTTTGCAGCAAACTGCTCCTCCACAGCCATAGCCCAGAAGTTCAGTTGCACAAAAAGGAGTTTCTCCTTTTGAATAACAGGCTTTGTAAAAGGAAGTGCAGGAGTTGAGTAAGTGCTGGTAAAATATATGTGTATTTACATTTATTAAGGAATTTTCTTCAGGTTGGGCAAGATCCAGAGCTCTCTGGAAGAAGCCCCTCCTCCCCACTGTTACTCCTGGGGCTGGGAATGGTTTCTGCTCAGGGGCACTGACTCACTCACACAGGGAACTTATTGATGAGAAGAGATGCACACTGTATAACATCACAGTTACTGTGTATCATTTCCACATGGTTAACTTTTCAGGAAACAGAACAAATGCAGAGGTATAATCAACGCCTTATAGAGGAGTTAAAGAACAAGCAAACTCAGGAAAGAGCCAGACTGCCTAAAATCCAGCGAAGTGAAGCAAAGACTCGGATGGCCATGTTTAAGAAAAGTTTAAGAATCAATTCATTTGCGTCTCCAGACCAAGATCGTGAAAAAATTAAGCAGGTAATTAATAAATTAGTATTTAGTAGTTTTAATAGTGTGAATGCTGAATGTGATGTAGTTGTGAGGATGAAATAGACGACATGCTCATGAGTTCTCAGATGGTTCCAAACTGGGTTGATGCACTGGAGGGGGTCAGAGGAAATCATCCTTCCCTGCTGCTTTGGTGAGACTCTTCTGAAACACTGGGTCCAGTCCTGGGTTTCCCAGTACAAGTCAGACACAGATTTATTGGAACGAGTTGTGCAAAGGGCCTTGAAGATGGCTGAGAGACTCAAGTGTCTTGTTACACAAGGAGCCACCTGGGGTACCTGGGATGCTTCAGCCTGGAGGACAGTATGCTCAGGAGGGTCTTATCCATGTGTGTAAGTACCCAATAGAGGGAGCAAAGAAGGTGGAGCTAGACTCTTCCCAGTGGTGCTCAGTGATAGGGTCAGAGGCAGCAGCCACAATTGAAATACAGAAAATCTAACTTCAACATGAGAACATTTTTTAGTGTGAAGATGATCAAACACTGGACCAGGTTGTCCAGAGAACTTGTAGAGATGCTCAGAACCAAACAGGGCACAGTCCTACACAGCCTTGTCCTGGTGACCCTGCTTTGAGTGGGGAGGTTGATTCTTTGCAGGTCCCTTCTAACCTCAACTGTTCTGTGGTTCTTTGAAACGTTTTTAAGGATGCTTGATTTTTGTGAGCTTTTGAGCTAAAGCTGTAGGTATTCATTGTTTAAAAGACAATGCTGTGCAGAGGTTGAGAGGTTTGCTTTCTAATGATGCATGACAGTCACAAATCATGGTTTCATATGGTGAGCACTGGAAGGATGAAAAATGTGGAAAATAGGGCCTCCTGTAGCTGTTTAACACCAGCCTTAACCAATGCTTGCAGCTGCACTGCTGTGTCACAGCTTCAGAGGTAATCTCAGAAGTCTGGAAGTGAAATGTGCTGTGTTTTAAGGAAAAATCAGACAGAGAAATTGGATTAAAACTGCAGGGCACTTCCTTTGTAAGAATTTAAAAAAGGAAAAATAGAGAAAATTACTGCTTAAATGTTCTAGAACCGTTTTCTCAGTATGTGTTCATTTTATTAGGTGCAGTTCTTTGACTCATGCAAACTATTTTACTCAGAGGTGCAATATAAATAATCTCTTACTTTTAATTTTAGTTTGCTGTTCAAGAAGAAAAGAGGCAGAAGAATGAGAGACTGGCGCAGCATCAGAAACATGAAAACCAAATGCGGGACCTTCAGTTGCAGTGCGAAGCAAACATCAGGGAACTGCATCAGTTACAGGTTAAAAATAGATGATATCAAATGACCATTCAGTGAGAAGACTTCGGTTAATACCAGATGCAGGCAAAGCAGAAATACCTTTTCCTTAATTTTTACTGTGTAGAGTTTTTTCAACTTTATTTTCAAAGGCCTGCAGTGCACTGCTTTACCAGATTCATATGTTCCCATCAATTAATGAGGAATAATTTTCAATGCAAGAAGAGCAGGAGACAGAAGCAGATGATCACTTCTGGATTATCTGTCAAGTTCCCAGAGCTATTTTCTATAGGCAACATTTCCTTTTAACCTGATTTTGCTGAAATGTCATTAATCAGAACAGAGGTGGGCAGCACCAGGCATTACCCACGATAAGTTTACAGCAATACAGGAATGAGGAGGTTTTTACCAAGTGCTGCCACTTGCTTGTGAGCTTCTGGACGGCACTTAGAAGGAATTCTCTTCTTGTAATAAGGAGCTCTGATTTGTCTCTTTTGGTATGCATTCCGTAAAAGTTTCTGCTGGATACCAGAGGCCAGATCTCCTTTTCTGTTAAATCAGCTTTTCCTAGTTTCAGGGACACAAGGCAGTTTTAGAGCATTAAATGATCACCTGCTGATAACCTTTGCTTAGAGAAATGGTGCAATGACCAATGAAGCTCATTCTACTCTATTCACTTTCTTACATCCTGCAAAAACAGTCCCTGGCTGTGCCGCTAATATGCCCCAATAAATCCCCAAGTACCGTGGGAGCCTTGTGAGAGTTTCAGCTCCAGTAAAATTGAGCAGATTAAGGCTGCTCTGAGCTTCACAAGGGAAACTGGCCCCTTGCTGCACTCAGGTCTAGCCAAGTGCTTGTTGTTTGTGTTGCTGTGGTTCTATACTCTGCATCAGACCCATTTGGGACTGGAACCCTAGAAACACTACCATTGCCAACTGCTCTTAAAGTGCAGAGACTTGAAGCCAAATAACTAATTTTTTTTCTTGCCATGCTTCAAAAGTCCTCTGAAAGTGAGGCAGATGCCTGAGTGCCTTACTGAGAGAAATGTGAAGCTGAGGTGTTGTTTGAGACTTTTCATAGGGCAATTCTGAGGCTGCTTCTGCAACCATGTTTGTCTCTTCTCTAAGCTCCATTTGTTTGTCTCGGCTCTTGGCACCAAGAGTTGAAATATTTCCAAAAAAACAGCTTCCTTTTCATGTAATTGGTTTTAATAAATTATACAGACTGTCTTTAAAAAGCAAAGCAGAAATGCTGCATGACCTTGAAAAGCATCATTAGGCAGTGAAACAGTTTTGAATAACACCCTCAGCAGCTGCCTTAATGATGCTCAGCAGTGTATTTGGATTTACGAGTGTTTCTTATCTCAATTGGCTCCGATGGAAAGATCAGCTTTTGAAAACACAGCCTTGTAACATACTTTCATCTTGTAATTATTCACGTCACTATTTACACGGAATAAGCTAATTAGAAAGAATTAGGACAACATATGTCACTGTACAAATGTTGAGTTGCCTAATCTGAATTAGTTTTACATAAGGATTATCTTGTTTTAAGAATGAAAAATGCCATCTACTGGTTGAGCATGAGACTCAGAAGCTAAAAGAACTGGATGAAGAGCACAGCCAAGAACTGAAGGAATGGAGAGAAAAGTTAAGACCGAGGAAAAAGGTAAATGGAAGCAGTTCATGAATCAGGAAATTATTAATGGTTTGATCTAGAAAATACAGACCATACAGAAGTATTGCAGAGAAGGAGAGTCAAGCTGCTGTACAAAGCTGTTGCAGTTCATTATATAATAAAAGATGTTAAAAAATTGCATAAGCTGAGCAAACAGCAGGTGTACCAAAACAGGCTGTGTGTTACCAGCCTCTTTGCAGGGCTTCCATCTGCAGCACATGTGCAGGTTTGCATGGAACACTTAGCTAGAGGTAAATCTGGGGTTAGGAATTTATTTCAAAAGCCAGTAAATTACTACAAAAATTGACTGATATATAGCAGGCATAGCTGGTGGTGGAGGTTGGTTTGGGTGTTTATTTTATTTTAAAAGGGAATGTACTAGAGTTTCACACAATTCAGAGATACATCAGACAAAACATATCCACAATAATGGGTTTCTTGTACTTTGCCTTGTTAATCCTGTGACAATCTGATTTTGGTTTTAGATGCTGGAAGAAGAATTTGCCAGAAAACTGCAGGAACAGGAAGTTTTCTTTAAAATGACTGGAGAATCCGAATGCCTTAATCCTTCCACACAAAGCCGGATTTCCAAATTCTACCCAATCCCCAGCCTTCACTCCACTGGGTCATAACTCTGGGAACTTCTGTAGGTTTTTTTGTGTTTGGAATTCTCCCTCCTTATGGTCTAACCTGACTTATCCGCAGCATATGAACATCGGGGACCTCACTTGTCTTGTTTTCAGTGGAGACAATCAGTGTCAGGAGTGGTTTCTTCACTCCCCTGAACAGAAGAAACAAACCGAGTGTTGGTGTACAATGGTATTGTTACATCCTTCAGATGTTTCAAGACTAAGTGGGCTTTTTCTCCCAGTCTCTAAAAGTACGTTACCTACAGTTTTGACTTTAAGCCTGAAATATTAATTATGCTCTTTCTCATCACAAAAGAAATGGTTTCTCATCTGAACATTTAAACAGTGTAATATTAGTTCTGCTACTGTGTTTTTAAGCATCAGATTTCTCCACGAGAGAATTCCACAATTGAAACTGTCATGAGAGGTTTAAAATTTCATAATGTGAGTAGTGTCTTCATGGCAAGGACTGAAACTAATTACTGAGAACATGCCAGTAATCAGAAAAACAAACCCTTATGTTTAAACACCATTGGCAAAAGCCTTTGCAACTTCTTTCAAAAGAAACCTCTGGCATAAATTAAACTTAGCTTATCTCCATGACATGTTTTGTCCATTAGTTCCATAATGAAATGGGGTGCTAGTTTAATTAATACAGTGCCTGAAACACTTAGATATGCTGATCCTGGCAACAGGATACTGTTTTGTCATTTAAAAACACAAAACTCCTTAGCATTGTTGTTACTGTACAAAACAAGATTTCTTGCTGCTACTGCCATTTTTGTTGTAAATCCTCACCCTAAAATATTTTGCACTAAAATATGTAAAGGTGAAAGAAATGCTAACTTTAAAATGCACAGTTTATTATTTTCTTTAGCTATTACATACAGGTGGTTAGTTCTACAAATTGAAAAACTGTAGAATGTATTTTTTAGAAAGCGGTGTGCAAAATGCACGTGGTTTCTCTTAACTGTACCTGGAATGGGTAGAGCCATTGTTCTGTTCTTACCAAAGCCCATTTGAACTCCATCACAGAAGTGGAGGTGGATGGTCATATTTATAAATAACCATGGTTAAAGTCTGATTTCACTAGAAATGTTAGATTCCTTTCTTTTTTTTTTTTTTTAATTTTAGTAGTTTTATTTTAAGGAAAGATTTAAGTTAAATATATAGACCAACTCCTTTATGAAGCTGGGTGTTTTGCTTTTGTGTTGCCACCTACTAACCTAGGCAGGTTTTATTTTTCGATGTACCATAAGTTATTTACCTGACTGATCGGTAGTGGGAAATCTGAACTGTCTCCTATAGCAGGGTAGGGAAATACAGCTGTATTAGGTCACTGCACTCCTTTTGGTGGATAGAGGTTGAGTCATATCAAGACGGTGTTATAAGCTGTACTTGGGTATGTGGGAGCTCCATTTGTAAAATAGTATTTGCTTTCTGTCTTTTGAGGCCTGACTTCCTCTGATCTCTTTGGGCATCAACTGCACCTGTTTTGTTTTGCTTGCTTGCTTTGACCCTGCAACTGGTGCCCATTCCATGGCGTTCATTTTATGGGAACAGTGTTGCTGCATGGCAGTGAACTCAAAAATTAACGTAGGACTTAAATCAGCTGTGGTTGAAACCTCAGATGCTGAAATCCTTGGACATTGAACTGATACCTTCTCAATGAAGACACTTAATTTACAGCACAGTAAAAAGAAAATTGGAAAATGCATGTTTTAATTTAAATTTTGTAACTTTTTGATAGCATAATTACTTCAATAGATAGCCTTAATTTCTGGCATCTTATTATTTTAAATGTGTATTGTGTACTGTTGTAAATTCACACACCATATCTCTAAAATGTTCTGTTGCTAAATGCAATGTTTTTTAAATTGTTTGTTTAGTAGGGAGAAAAAAGACTTTGAAGACCACTGGCTTTTTAAGCTCCACCTTCATAAATTGTCTGTTACTAAGATAACATTAAACAATCTTCATCTCTATTTAACAGGATTTGTTTGCAATTTCATATGAAATAGGCTCAGTGCTTTGCCCGGGGAGTAGTCAGGGCAGGCAGATTTCCTCTTCTGGAATATGTCTACATTCATCCCATTCATCTACATTAAATCCTCACAGGGAAATGTTAATAATCTTCTCTTTACATTTTTGGTAGTTCCAATGATACATTGCTAATATGTATTGGCATTCTGTTTACCTCCATCTGTATCTCTTACATCTTTTATTTGAAGATCCTTTTCACACAGGCCCTGCAATCTGATCTCATTGTAAATTGCACAAATAACTGTAACTGAGCTCTTGGATGAAGGGAGGGATCAGATGTGGTGATGGAAGCCTTGCTTAGGTCTCCAGGTGGGGAGCCCTGTGAAGCACTTGTAGCCTTGTGAATTGGGCTGAGAATTGATAGCAAGCATGAAAATATATTTTCTGAGTGATAACAAGAACTAGTGTGGGTACTTACACATCTATACTGATAAAATTTGGTTTAAGTGTTACAGAATGTCAGAGAGCTGTTACAATATTGTATCAGTGTCAGAAAATTCAGTTCAAATTAATTTAGTCTCACATAGGCTTAAAAGATGTCTCCTGAGATGTGAAATGCAATCTCGCTACTATCTTATGTCACCTCCCTAATGAATGGTAGCAGCTCCATCTCCAGGGTGGTGAGGTGTCTTCTGCAGCCAAAACAATGTACTTACAAATTCTTACTGTTTGGCAGATCTTATTGTCTCCACATGCTCTTCCAAAGCTGACCACAAATCAGTATTTGCTCACCACTGTGTTTTACTACACTGTAAATTCTGTCCACAGGAAAATGAGCAAAGGCAATAAATCCCTGAATTGCAGTGCTGTGTGTGGGTTGTCCTCCTGTGTTTACAGCTGATCCTCACAGAAAACCTGTCTGCAGGGCCTCAGCCTCACACCATGTGCTTTCTGAGCTCTGAAAGTGCATTTTGGCACTGCTTATGGCATCCAGGGAGATCTGGGGCTAAAAGTCTTTGGGTGCACCTGCTGCCCCTGTTTATAGGAGATGCTGGCTGAAGAGGGGCTACCAACTCAAGGGAAAATGGGCTGTGGCAGCTCTCGATCTTCTGAAGTTCCAGGGGAACTTTGCTGTTTATTTTATGAAGAAGAAATACTCCAGCATTTGATTCCCTCTGATTCCCATAAAACTAACTTTCCTTCTTCAAGTACTTTGCTGTCTCTGGTGTATACACAAGAACCATATACAGCATGTAAAGATATGCTACTGAATGATTGATTATGTAGATCCTGATTTCTAAAGACTTGAAGGAAAACCTTTATTTGAATTGGCACCTGAATTCAAATTCCCTCGTGTCAGGGTGGCACTGTCCAGACCGTCAGCATTCACTCGGAGGGATTTTTCACATCACATTAAAAACTGATGTTCAGTCTGAGTTGCATCCTTTTTTCCAGGTACTCTTTTAAGCTAATAATCTTAAAATTGCATTTATGTGTATTCAATATCTAATGAATCACACAGTTAAAGAAATTATTCTTCTGTCCCAGAGGACTTCATGATAATTCCATTCTACTGAATTATTTTCCTTAAAAATTGGAAATACAGCACCTTAACTAAGACCTAAGCAAAGCAGCAATGAAATTGCTTTTGCCACACCATGTCTTTTGTGACAGCAGTATCACACAGGAAGTTGATTCTCCAGCTGAAAGAGTTTATCTGCCTTGCAAGTACTTCAGTCTTGCTTTGGTATAGGAAAGATTCAAGTAAGGTCTTTAACTCCAGGCACTTAAGTCCACTTTTGGGCAGCCTGATTTTCAGAGTGGTTGTGCAGCTGCAGCTCCCAGGACCTCAGAAATACGTTTTTGCTGAAAACTGAAATGTACAAATGAGCTCAGTGCTAGTTGCTTCCACTGATCTACTGCTTCTTGGATTATCTGCTGCAGTGAAGAGGGGCAAGTTTAAGGACAGTGACTTGTTGTTGGAGAAAAGGGTGGGGGGAGCGTTTAGGACCATCATTGTGTCAGTAAGTTATGTTAGCATTTACACTCTGGTCATTTTACATCAAAATCTGTACTTCTGGATTTCTGAAACTTCCTTGCATTGATGTGTCCATGCAAATTTCCCATTCCCAGACTACTTCTGCCATCTTCACAGCAGTTGGATTAGTAGGATTAGTAGATAGAAGTTGGATTAGTAGGTTGAAGTAGGATTAGAGAGAATTAACCTTCCTTGTTCACAGGCAAGCCAAGGTTAGGATGCCCCATCATTTCTCAGTCTTGAGAAAGATGAGAACAGGTAAAGGGAAGGTGAAGACAAAGGACATTACCGTGTTTCTCTACAGAACTTTTACTGGTTCTGCATCCCCTTTTTCCAGCTCAGTCCCTGTGCTTTTTTTCTGTAGCTCATTTGCACATCTGGTGTTTGGGCAATCGGTGGTGCCAGAGGAAAGCCCTTTAAGCACAAACATGCTCAAGCCCAACCCACAAGAAAGGGCTCATGTGCTTTCCCTGTACTGAAAGCAGAAGGGAGTGGGTGAGTCCAGGATGTGATTTAACAGTCTTCCACATTTGCATTTAGGTGGTAAAGCCTCTTTGGTAATGAGAATCAGTCCTAAAATGGTGGAAAGAACAGAAACTAGGAAGGGACATTTAGTGGCTTCTAATATTGAACTGTCACCCCATTTTCTGTCAGGAAGCCAAGCAGGCTTCACAAGAGCAGGAGCATCCTGTGACAAAACACGCGCCTGAGGCACTGCCGGCCTTGTGTTTTCCCAGCAGTTTGTTGAATGTTTTGTGTTAACTGCAAACCAAGTTATTTTTGCCTTACAGAAAGCAACCAAAAATCATGAGATGGATGAATAATTGGCTAAGGGTCTCTGTACAGCTCATGGAAGTGAACTTGCAGTAGCAGTCATACAACAGTTTTGGGGTTTTTTTTGTCTTGTTTTTCAAAGTAATTTGATTTCATGGCTTTCTGTAGAATATTGTAATAATTCTGCTGTAAATACAATAAAATCACAGTTTGCTGAGATCGCCTCAGTTTTGTTGATAGAAAATTTGCATGAAATACAAGGGGATCTGTACAAGCATTTGAGTAAAGGGGATTATTTACAATGTTTAAAATAACGGAATATAAAAGTATTTAATGTTGTGCCACTGTGTTTACCATTGTACCTCAGACCCATCTCAGGTGCCTCACCCTGCCCCACAACAACCTGCAAGCACAGAATGGCCACGTTGAATAGTTCAGGGATGGGGTTAAAAATACACTGTAATTGGGATGTTTACTTAAAGATTATTTTTCACCAGTGTTTAAAAAACGGAAAACAATACAAAAATATTTTTAAAAGATAAACAAATTACATTTAAAAGTGCTTTGGTTCAGCCCCTGTGTGTGTCCTGTCTTGCTGAGCTGCTATAAATGGGCTCCACTTAGGGTTAGCAGAGCTTGTGGAGAGGGAATCCCAGGGCAGTGCAAGCCCAGGGTTTCTCACACAGGGATGCATCTGATCCCTGACAAACCATGCATTTGGTGGGAATGGGATTGTTTGTTTTCCTTTTTCTGCAGAGTTGGCTAGTTAAAAAAACCCAGTTTTTTACATATGTGGTAGTAGTACAAGAAGCCCTGGACTATGTGAGACAGGCACCCATTGTCAGCGCAAGGACATCAGCCTGGGAGCTCAGGGGCACAAAGCCAAACATCAGTAACAGAAGCAAACACCCACACTTGGGCCATGCTGGACACACACAAGAGACATTCAGATCTGAACTATCAACTCTAAGGGGTCAGCTGAGCAGTGAGGATGTTTCAGCATTAAGGCAGTGAAGACTCAGGCTAATTCTCTACAGGCTCCTGGGAATGTTGCCCTGTGCAGAACTGAGCTACCTCTTTCTCTTAAACACCAACACTTCTTTTTCTTCTGCCAACATACAGTTGTTCACCTGGGGACCAGAAAAATCAAAAGGAGGGTTAATTGAAAAGACCAGGTAAAAAGAAAAATATCCAAACCAAAAAACACGCTGTGCTTTCCAGCTATTCCCAGCGATGGGCTGGTGCCTCTCCCTGACAGTCAAACCCTGCTCTCCTAGGGATGGTATGTGTTCCTACCTTTCTCTCCCTTCTCTCCTTTTGGTCCCCTGTGCCCTTGTCGTCCTGGTGGGCCCATCGGCCCAGGGTCACCTGAAGGAATGAGAAGACCAAGTTTGTCCTTGAGCACAAGTGACCCACAGACAGAGATGGGCCAGGGGAAGGGACACCAAATCAGGACAATGTTTTGGCTGAGATCCTGAAGGTACCACCTTCATTGTGAGAGGATGTGACCTTGAGCAGTGCTGTGACCTCTGTGGTCTCAGTGCTGCTGCCTGGGCATCACAAGGCTGAAGAGGGAAAGGATGGCAAGCCTTACCTTTGGGTCCCCGATAACCCCTCTCCCCCTTTTCACCGGGTGGCCCCTGGATGGCACCATGTGCTGGAGAGGGAAATAAAGGAGAGAGTGAATGAGTGGGAGAAACCACTGCCCACTCAGAGAAGCTGAGTCAAAGTGGAAGGACATTGCTCTTGGTTAGATGGGATTAGACTGACAGCAAGGTTTCTAAACAGGATTTTGGTCCCAACAAAATCCCAAAGACAAGCTGTGATGTCATTTCACCAGCACTGCTCTGTCACTCTCTGGGTGTCCTGGCTGTCACTAGGGCTGGAGCTGGCCCATGCTCAGGGTGGGGAATCTGAGAGCAGTTGGCTTGGGTTTCTGCACAAGTGCCAGCCCAGTCATGTTAAAATGGGCCAGCGAGCTTGTAAGCACAGAGGCCTTTCAGTGTTTGGGATGAGTTTCCTACAAATAGTGGGAAAAACTGATGTCCTTCCTAATGATAAGACTGCACCTCCCCAGCAAGGAAGGAAGGAGATGGAAAGACCATCCACCTTCAACTCCACACCTTGACTTTTGCAGTGTGCAAAGGTTAGAGGATCTAATATGTATGAGCCAGAAATGCCAAGACAAAACGTAACTCACTTCTAAAGAAGTCCATGAGGTCTGCGGTGACATTGCCATAGGCTGCAAAGACCTTGCTGATGCCAGGGGGACCAGGAGGGCCTGGGGGACCTGCAGGGCCCTGTGCAGTGTAAGACATCAGGTCCTGGAGAATACCTCGGCCTGCGGAATTAAAGACGTCATTTGAAAGGAGCTCTGGGAGAACTGTAGCTGCATGCTGAGGGAGAAGGTGTAAGGGAGACATGTAGGCAGCAGGAAGGAGAGGGAGGTGGACAGCATGACCAGGCACAGGGGGTTTGGAGTTGTAGGCTGAGATAGGGAGAGTCAGGCTGAGCATTGAGTGAGGCATTGCACTCACTCTGCAGGCTCTCTGACACACGGAGTGCCAGCTCGTTGTAATCCAGGGAACCGGTAAAGGAGTTGCTGTAGGATCTGCTTGACCCTGCTGATCTGCTGTGTGATTCTTCCTCTGTCAGCAGCCCATCAATGCCCATGGAGGCATCATAAGCACCATTGCTGCCCACTAAGGCATGGTAAGAGGACATGCTGCTTCTGGAGCTGCCTGTGCCCAGTGAGCCCCCATGGGAGTCCTCAGCACCAAGGGATCCTCCATGCAAGTGCTCAGAAGCTCGTAACCCTTGGTACGATGAAGACACAGACTCAGACACAAAGCCACTGTCTCCTTTGGGTCCTGGTGGTCCCCGTGGCCCAGGGGGGCCAGGGGGTCCTGAGATGTAGCTTCGAACTTCATCACCTGCAAAATACAAGAGGGGAAACTTCAGGGACACTGGGCTTGACAGAGGTCCTGTGCTACCACCTGAATGAAGACTGGAGTGTGAAGTTCTGTCCCACCAACCATCACAGTGACCCTCATCCCATGCCATTTCTCAGGCAGCAGGCACATATCAACCTGGAACTCTACAGATGGCAAGACATCCTTCTCCTTCCCATCTCTCCCACAATTTTGAGTGCCCAATCTTGGGATTATGCCCAATGATTTTGCAGAAGGGTGCACTCCTCAGGCAAATTTCAGCACCTCTGGCAAAAAAGCCATTCTGTGACCAGTTTGCCAAAACTGAGGTGTTTTTGAAAGCCTGCCCTGAATGACTTGCCAAGATGAGCTCAGACCACTGGTGCCTCACATTAAGCTCAGTGCTGCCTTCCAATCCCTCCATTAGCCATAGCTCTGTGGGCAGGTGTTTGCCAAACAAAATGCTTTCCCCATTGTAAAACTCTGCTGGTGACCTTACTTGGACCCATGTTCAGCACAGGCCTATTTTAACTATCCAGTGCTTGTCCCTGGGGTCTCACAACACAGACTTTGGCTGGCAGCTGGGTTGAGAAGAGAAAAAAGGGTGCAGCACACTCCTGTAGACCTGGCTGTAGAGGGAAGGTGTTGCTGTAGCCCCAGTTCAGGGAAGGCTCCTACAGGAATCTCAGCTCAGCTCCTACAGGAATCTCTCAGCTGTGGCAGAGCCAGTCACCTACACAAGGTAAAGCATGTCTTGGGATGTGTGCAGGAAGGATGGATGGTGTTCCCTTACTCTTCAGGTACTGGATCAGCTCACTCCTGAACTCGTCGCTGTTGGTGATATCAGCATAGGACAGGAGGCCGGTTCCAGAGAAACCTGGTGGTCCTGGAGGGCCAGGAGGGCCAGGTGGGCCCCGGACTCCAGAAAGGGAAGAGTATCCAGCATCTTGAGAGAGAGAAAGAATTATTTACTATCAGTGAGAGGATAAGGAAATTTCACAGGTTCAGAGATCTTGAAAGTTTAAAGGCTCCATCCCCAACTTCCATCCCTTTACAGACAACATTGACAAAATTGTTTTCTTTATAGTGACTTTGTTCCTATTGCCAGTCACATCCCTGCTAAGCTAAATCCCAGCCTCAGTCCCCCCAGCATTACAAACCGAATCACCCTGCCAGCTGTGAGAAACCCAAGTGCTTTACTTTGAAGGTAGGCAGAAATGTCCTCCAGAGAGGTGCCTGGTGATCCAGGGATCCCTGGTGGTCCTGGGGGACCTGCAGGACCAGGGGGCCCAACAACACCACTGAATTCAGAGTCTGTAAGACAGAAGGGAAGAAAATGAAGTCACCCACCCAAACAACCACATCCCTAATGAATGTTCCTTGACAACACAACTTATGACAATACAGAATACAGCCAAGTTGATGAATTTTTTTCCCTCCAGTACTTTCTGGTGCAGCCTTCTTGGTGTATATCACTTCCTGCATGTAGATGTCACATTGGGCAGTCAGGTGATTCCAAAGAGAGTAAAGTCCCTATTTTAAAAATATACTTTTAAAGAGGTGTAAGAAACGATGCCTTTATGCTGCCAAGTTTGGATATGACAAAGGGCTCCTTCATGCCCATATTCAAGACAGTCTCACTGCTGTTGCTCCTCACAGGAGCATGGTGATCCAGCTGCAGCCCCTGTGGGGTATGCAGGTGCCAGCAGAGGCCTGCAGTGCTGCTGAGGACAAAGGACCATCAGAGGGTTATTTTGTGATGATAGGCAAAAAGGGAAATTATGTGACTAAGGCTGTAAAAAATATCCTGGGGGGATGTAGAGCCCCATGGCAGGGGAGTGAAGAAGTTGGCTTACTTCGCAGGTACGCTGTCAGGTCATTGTAAGATATACCAGGTGACCCTGGAGGCCCAGGTGGTCCAGGCAGTCCAATGCTCATCCCAGAATCTGCAAAATCAAACAGATCCACATTATCAGCACAGGCTGTTATAGTGTGGGCAGACAGGCAGCAGGTCTTGTTACAGGCAGTGTAGGAGGGGCTCCTGCAGAGTGGAGTGTTCCCACCAGCAGACTGTGTCAGGAGCCAGAGCTCAAACCTTGTTCTGGACTTGTGACTTTGCCTTGACAATGCCAAGGATACCCACAGACAGGTAGGCAGCAGGCTTCTATTCCTGGCCAAAGCTCTGGACCTGATAAATCCATGACGTGGTGGGGGCACCCCTGGACTTGCAGCTCAGTTGCAACCCACACTTGATACGTGTGCTGCTCTCCCTGTGTCTGCAGCTCTGGGGCAACACTCTGCACTTTGTGATTTGTGTTAATGAAACGTCCCTGCTGCCAAAATGCAGCTGTCCTGTCTGAGCCATTGGAGTGCTGCCATTACACTGCAGTTCTGCTGGAAATTCCCTCCATCTTAAGAGCAGTCCACTAATGAGATCTGGTCTCAAAGAGCAGTTCAGAGAAACTGAGCTTAAACCAAGCTGTGTTTTTAAGCAGACAGTTGCAGCTACCAGGATTAGGCATTTTAGCAGTGCTGCTGGGGATGCTCAAAGGGTCCTCTCTGTCAAACAGTATATATATGCCATATCACCCCTTTACAGATGGGAAAATGAAGCAGAGACAGAATTTGTTTGACCTAACTTCTAAGAGTTTGTTGCCTGAGCTGCCTTGACACAAAGTGGAAACAGACCAACTCTTTCACAGGGAACTATATCCTGACCACAGAGATAAACGTTAGAAAGGCACTTACAGATGTTGATGGGACTTCTAAGATGGCTAGGATGAAATTTTGTTCCTAAGCTCAATTTTTAACAAAGAAAGGATTCATTACTAGTCTGGGGATAGTATCTTAGCTACAGGGTATTTTTGCTCTCATACAAGTCTCCCACAGTGCCTGCAAGGAGGTCTCTGTACATAGGGATTCACACAATTAGCACTAGAATAGTTTCAACTGTCTGACAGCATGAGCTTTGTGCTGGGCTCCCAAAGGAACAGAGGGAAACACACACTAATAAAACAATTACTTGACAAGTAGTTGATAAACCTCCTGGTCAGCTCATCATAATCCAGTGACAGAGACATTCCATCTCCCCCTGGCCCAGGAGGTCCTGGTGGGCCTTGGGGTCCAATGAGGTACTGACGAATTTCTTCTCCTAGAAATGAAAAAAAGCATCTTTTAAGGCTGTCCAGCTGCTGCACAGACACCAAGTGGGAGAAGTTCCCAGCCTGTGAGTAGAGCTCCCAACACCAAGGAAACCATCAAAACCTATGGATGCAAAGTTCCTTCCCTCCCTCTTTTCTGAGTGAATTGTCTTGTATACAGTGCCAGACATCTGCACCAAGGCTGGGAACTTCCTATAATAAGGGTGTGAGGAGGATGAGAAGTTGGATTGCTTAAGGGACCTCCCTGTGTTTTTTTTTTTTTTTCAGGACATACTGGACAACTTCTTGGGTAAAGGGAATGAAAAGCAGTTCAGCTGGCAAAGACCATGCTGAGCTGTGTGGCACTTTGGAGCCACTTGCAGCACAGTGCTGGCCAGCATCATCAATACATTCAGGGAGAGCCAAATGACATCCTGGAGATTCACCTGTCAGTACAGTGACATTTACCCACAGTAACAGTGTGTACAGAAAAGAATAAAGAGTTGGGGATCCCACTCAACTTGAGAACAACAACACAGCAAGGCTATGGGGGGAACACTGAGAGTGGGGGAGCTGGAAAGTAGAACACTCTGAAGCAGCTGCAGGTAACTCCAGTTGCAGACTGGAGAATGGAAGGGAAAGGTAGATTTCCAGGATGATGGGATGCTTTAACCTCAATCCTATGTTTCCCTTGAGGGTCACTTACTTTGCAGCAGGCCCAGAAGTTCTTGGTACAAAGTGGATGTACTGGATACTGAGCTAGAAAATGACTCATAGCGACCTGAAGAGCCTGTGGGAATGAAAAGGTTTTACATGAGCCAGTATGAGACAGAAGGTGAGGAGGGGTCAGGAAGGAACAAAAGAAAGATGAAGTAATTAACTGGTAGAATGGGCTTCTCATGCCCCCAGCTATGAAACAGTTGTGATCTCACACATTCTGGTCATCACACTTCGTGCTCTGTGCATTTTTGGTTGAGATTCCAGGCTTCTTCCAAAAGCTCTGGGAATTTCATCTACTTTAGGAGAGCCCCAAGCAAACAAGGCAACCCCCAAATACTTGAGACCACATATACTTAATAAAATCACCTCTGTTTGGGTCTTTGGGGTGTCAAAGAGTCTAACAGCAAATGTTTAATATGAGACTTTTTAAACCTCACAACTGCTAGTTAATCTAACCATTAAAAAGTACAAGTCTCAGAGGACACCTCAGCTATGTGGAGTCCTGGGCCTAGACTGCTGAAGATGAATAACCTGGTTGGGATGCTGCTATTTAAAGACTCGTTTCTCCTCTGGTTCTTACCTCCTAGGTGCTGCACAAGCTCAGCTGAGGGCATGACTCAGTACAGAGTTTACCAACATAGTGCTTACTTGTCATATAGCTCATGACACGGGTAGCCAGCTCTGCATAATCCAAGGTCACCCCATCCGCAGTGGTGATAAGTCCGGGTGGGCCTGGAGGGCCTGGCGGGCCTTGGGCACCAGTCAAATAATGTCTGACATTGTCACCTACGTAGAAAGCACAAGATATGCCCAAATCACTAAGACAGAAGACTGACCATAAGCACAATTACCAGACTCTCTTCCTCTGACAAAGAATAAGACAACAGAAGGACAGTTCTACAGAGGCCACAGCGGACAACAGCACTCCACAGTATTCAGGAGAAATAAGCCCAGAGTAGCAGGGCTGTTGTTTCTAATAGAAGAGGGATAAGGCCCTTGGGAGCAAAAGAGAGATAGGTATGAAATTGCTGCCCCAATTTTTTGCCCAATTGCAAAAAATCTCATTATACTCACTCTTCAGGTAGTCAGTGACATACTGCTGAATCTCTTGAGATGAACCTCCACTTGGGCCGGGAGGACCAGGTGGCCCAGGAGGTCCTGGGGGTCCCTGAATTTGTCTGGATCCACCTACAGAAAGCATTTTAAGGAGAAGGAGTGTTTTTGGCACAGTTGCATTTGACCAAGTGTTAATAAAGTGTACTTGCATTAAGCCCTTCCCACAGGCCTGGAAAGATCTTTGTAAATTGAATATGGAGGGACTCCCCCTGCATCTTAAGATGCAGTCTGAGCATGGGCTATTTGGCAGTACAATGTCTTCAATTAATTCAGCGTCTCATAATTCAGCCTGTGCAGGGCTGAGTCCAGAGACATTCCTGGCTTTGTATAGGCAGACCTGGTGGGTTTGTGCACTAGAGTGCAGTGTTGTGCAGAATATAGATGGAGATTGTAACCACAAGCTCATTAGTCTAACATCACTGCCCTGCTGCTCCCCATCCCAGTGAGCCTGGGCAGCACCAGTTCAAGGACCTGTTCATACAGAGGCAAAACTCCAGCTTAAAGGATTCCAAATAAGCTGGAAAAAGAAAGCTGTCAATTTTTAAATTTTCTAATTTAAGGCAAATCATAAAAAGAGGTTTTGAACACAAATCCCATCAGCACTAGGTTGGTGCCCACACTGGTAAAATTCAAAGGCATTTTTTCAAAGCCTCAACCAGGATATCAGCATTCCTTCTTAATATGAGAACAATGATGGTCTGGCCTCTTACCTCGAGATGCTCCCGGGATGCCAGGTGCACCTGGGACACCTGCATCACCTGGAAAAGAGTGAGGGAAACAGATGCTTGTAATGGATATGACTGCATGTTGCATACTTGGTCATGTGAAAGAGTTGAGCTACATGCTGTCAGAGAAGCAACTACCCAGCCCTTGAAATGACTGCCTTGAAATGCCAGCTTGTTGGGAAAGAGCATAAAGAAGAGGCCATGGCAGCCTTCCTGAGCCTTCTGTGACCTCATCAAGTGCCTTGTGCTCACAACCATTCTATTGCTGTGGTCCTGCTTTGCCTGAAAATGTAGGCGTGAGCACACCTCTAGTCCCCAAAGGACCAGGTTGTTCCATCCTTTAGTCTCAACCGTGCTTGGTTGTGTGAGGCCACCCCCAAAAAAAGAAAAGATTTTTTTGCTTCACCTTTTGGTCCAGGTGGGCCAGGCGGGCCTGGGGGTCCCTGTATGGTGACTCTTTCACCTGCCAGTTGGAGAAAGAGAGTCAGAGATTCAGAGGAATAAAGTATGTGGACAAAATCCTGGCTCCACTAAAATTAAGTTAGAATGAATAGAGCAGGATTTTGGCCCAATTTCAGCCCAGGGACAATGAATTCAAAGGAGGAAAGGGGGCACAAACTAACCATGGGAGGAGAATGTTGAAAGACCAGGATCACCCGGTTCTCCTGCAAGAGACACAGAAATGAAGGAGCAGTCATACACCCAGGCAAGCTACCCTGAAACTCACTAATATATCCTTACCTGTGAATCCCCGTGGACCTCGTTCGCCTGTGAAGATGGGAGCAAAGGAACAAAGTCAGGATTTCCTTTATGCTCATCATCAACATCCCAGCCCACACTGCAGCATATCATCTTGGCCTTCAATTTGTAGGGATGAAATGGGAAAAGGGATCAGGTCCACCTTTTCTTGACAGCTGAGAGCTGAGCTACACTTCACAGGGCCACCTCCTTGCACTGACTTAGTCCACAGTGCATTTTGCAAAAAGGCTGTCCCCTTCAACAGCAAATCTGAAGTTCTGAATGCTCTTGAGTATAATGAGCTTGCAAAGTTGGGATCTGAGTACAGTGATTGCCTTGACACTAGTACTGGAGGCTAATAAATTTCTTTGACAAAGACTGACTTGTTTTACAGCAGACAGGAGTCCTACTCAGTGACAACTGTGCTAGCTTTCTTACAGACAAAAGCAGGAATTTCTGCTCCTAAGCCCCTCCTTCTTTTCACACTAAGGTGCTGAGATCCCTCTAGCACCTTGGTGAGACCACACAATATACCCACCTTGGTCTCCCTTCGGGCCTGGTGGTCCTGGTGGACCTGGTGGGCCTGTGAAGAATGCTTCTGCAATTCAAACAAAGAGATTTCTTCATGACATCCAACAGAACATGAAACAAGGTTTCTCTGGCTCCACTTGGTCCTAGCCATATATATGCTCTCTGGAACCCCAACAGGACATCTCCAGGACCAGATGACGGAATGACTGGCAAGAACCTACCTGAGGTGGACATGGATGATCCTGGTCTCCCTGGTGGGCCTGGAGGTCCTGGCAATCCTTCTCCTAGGCAAAAGGGACACAGAAAGGCTTCAGGAAGGATCAGCTTCAGCAATATAAGTAAATGCTAGAGCTGCTACATCTCCAGCCACGGCTTTAGCTTGAGTCTTTCCCAATGTAGGTTCTTATAACTGTTTTCTTCACACATCTATCCCTAATAGTTACTCTTTACTATCATTTTCCACCACAGCAGAAAAGGACAGAGAAACTCCTTTCTTTGTGGTACTGGGTACCTATCCCATCACACACCAAACCTGTTCTCTTTTCCTACAAAGAGCAAGGAATGGGTTTCTGCTCCTGTCACATGTCCCCCCACATCTTCCCTGTTCTGGCCAAGAAAGGGAAATCTGTGTTACAGGATGGGGCATGGGGATATGTTCCTCATGATAAGAGCCTCCCCATTTGTCTGCAGTTGAAAGTTAAGGCTGGACAAGCCTTAACTTCTTTACAAGAAATAAATATGGAACTGATTGCAGTTATTTCCTTTGGCAAATTGAAAACTTTTTGTGTCTTCCCTAGAAGTATGGCTTTTACCAAATAATACTTATGGCTAGAACTCTCTGCCAAAGCAAGTGTTCTTTGTTGGGCAGCATCTTGCTGCAGTGAAATTTTGTTGATAGGAACCCACTATGTGACATTCTGCTTCCAGCCCTAGGCCTTGGAAAAAGCCTCACACTTTCCATTTTGGTTTCAGAGGAACAAGCTCTTACCTGGGGGACCACGAGGTCCAGGGGGTCCTTGTACAGATTCACCTGATGAGAAAAGAAACAGGGATATTAGGGAACATTTACTCAGCAAACTGCATGGCTCAAAAATGTGCCATGCTGTGTGAGCATTCCTTGCTCAGGTACTGAGCTCTGTATGTTACATACCTGGTGGTCCAGGGGGACCTGGTGGTCCTGCTCGCCCTTGTAAATCTCCTAGCACTGTGCAAAACAGAAACACAAACAAGGGAAAATTGTTGCTATGGAGCTATTGCTGCTGTGGAAACTGTCAATATATTGCTGCTAGAAGCTCTTACAATCAAAGGTGGACTAATGTGGGGCCTGGATGACCTAAGCCCAAGATGAAGCAGATGAGGGAGAGGAGAGATGTGTTTGGCTAGGACAGGAAGAACAATACAGCACTGAGCAGGATATTGGAAACAGGGAGGAGAGTAATGGTTGTTGAGAGAAAGAAAATGACACAAATGGCAAAAGAAGGAGGCAAAGAACTTAAAGAAGAGGAAATATTTTTTAAAAGAGGCAAGTTTTGGGAGGAGAACATAACACAGAAGTTATTTAACAAGTAGCTGCAATGTGTTTTCTTGATTGTACTGTATGATATACCTCCACCTCCAAGCTGAGGCATGAACTCATAAATTCATTGATGCTGTGATCCAAGACTCCTGAATGGGGAATTGGACAGTACTGAAGCATGGTGTGAACCTACATGACCCCATTTGGATGGTGATCAGACAAGGATCATTTATCATTTTATGCCTTCTTCTACCTTGCTGCAAACTTGCAGAGGTCCCAGATCCTAGGAATACCAACTCTCAACAACATCTAGTGTTGCAAATGCTTTTCCTGGGATCTTGCTAAATCATTCTGTTCTTCTCCACTTATTTTCATCTTAAAATTTAAAAATTTTTACAAAATGTATTTTTTTTTATCTTAAAATTTATTTGCTCCTCTGTGGATTCATCCTTTAATTTGAAGAGAGATTATTTCTGTTGCTTAGAAATGCTTTTTCAAACTGGTTCTGTTCTTACAGATGGTTCCATGTTCATATTGCACAGGTAACTGCCCTGTATGAATTCAGTGGCTGAAAGCTCTCAGCTCTGTATCTCCCCGGTTAGTGGCTGCTCACCAGCCACCATTCCTCAGCTTCCCTCTCTGTGATGTGGGCCTGATGGCATCTGCCTCTTTTTGAAGGGACTTTGGGATGCACACATGAGGAGGGCAGAAGAGGTAGCTGGCACTGCAGATACACCATCAAACACACACACACACACACACACACACACGCACTTGTCTCACACACGCACTTGTCTCATGCCACATTGAGAATCTCCTGGTAGCTGTGAGCAGGCCTTGAGGCTCTGATACATCTCCAAGCAAAGGAGTGGAAAGGCCACTTACTTTGAGATGCTAATGATGAGACTTCTGTTCTGATGGTTTCTACCACAGCTTCACCTGGAGATCCTTTCTCACCCCGTGGACCTTTTCCAGGAAAAATAAAAGCAACAGAGAGAGGGAGATATTTTGTACTTACTCCAACAAGAGGTTAAGACTTTTCTTGTGAGAACAAGGAGCATGAACTCAGACCCCAGATCTGAGGGACACTGCATTCAAGTGTGGAAATTACTGCCCAGTCTGCTCTAACAGGATCATAGAAAACCAGCTAAGAAAAGTTCTTAGAGCTCAGCTATGTTCAGGCCCCAGGAGATGTCTGCCCAACTGGCAGTGCTTTTACAGTGACATTAATCCAAATTTGGCTCTAGTTTGGTCTTCTGCCTTTCAAAATGGCAGGAGGTATCCAGCTGGGCTATATCCCTCTATCACAGAAAGGCAACTGCACTTGTGAAGTGTCTTAGAAATACCAGCCTTTAGGAAAAATAGTATATGAAAAAATAGACATTTGCAGCATCCACATTACACTGTCTCATATCGCCCTCTTACCACCCTCCTTCTTCCCCTGGGAAAACAAAAAATTATAAAAATTCTTTACAAGATTAATTAAGCCAAATAATGCAACAAAATGAACTGAAAGGAAGAAATTTGCAAACAAAAGGGAGAGGGAATGTGCCAAGGGCTTAGAGAATTAGAAACAAAGTAAAACTAATGAAGTCCGTTCTCTTATGAAGCATAATCAAAGCTGAAGGAAAATGGTACCTTGCTGTCCAGGAAGACCAGCTGGTCCAACAGGACCTAGTTTCAAGGGGAAAAAACCACAGATTTCATTAGATTTTACTGGTTGTGTTTTACAATAGCAGAAAAGAATTAATGGGACTTTTGTAAGAACTGAGACTATCAAAAATTTCTACACAACTAAATGGAATTGCTATGGGGTACGAATTCACCAATGCCCCATGTATTACTTGAATTTCCATCCCCTGGCAATTAAAATGCTTGATGCCTCTTGCACTGGGGAAATAACCAGAATGCCACTGACCACAACAGAAGAGGAATGCAAAAGGCCTAACCCTCCTCTCACATTCCACACAGAAGTGCCTGAAGAAGAATCAGGGCTCAGGAACTCTGCTGCCTGACACCAGCATGCTGGAGGGCAGTGTCTGACAGGAACAGAGGAGTCTGAGGCCTGAGCTCATGCACAGCCAGTGTATGTGTGTGTGAGAAAGATTTACAGAAGCTTGAGTAGGAGTTCTGCTGCCTTGAAGCTCAAAGCTGAGACTAGAAAACAAGCACTTCCTAATTTCAGCAACAGTGGTGGGAAATGGATTAGACACAAGTCTGCCTTCCTGAGCAGTGAAAGAGCTTGATTCTAGTCCCTGGATTTGACCTATCACTACTTTGTAGTCACCAGTACTCACCTGGAACACCTGGGGGACCAGTGGGGCCAGGTGGGCCTGGGGGACCTGGTGGGCCTGGCAGACTAATAGTTGATGAACCCTCTGAAAAACAAACACACAGATTTACATGCAGACACTTATAGTCACACATCCAGTGAATGTGTACAAATCTATGCTTAAGGAATCCCACATCTAAGGCATATATATGGCATATATAGTCTCCCAACACAGGGAGCCCCAGTACAGGTCTGAATTGAAGAGGCACAAAAAAACCGAGTGAAAATCCTCCTGAATCAGAAGTGTGACTCCTCACAGCATTACATACCTGCACTTATGACTCTTCCTGGAGCTCCAGGTTCTCCTAGGAAAACAAAGGTACAGAAGTTGAGCTTCTTTTTAGGGGGGCAGGTAAGAGCTATAATAAGCTCAATAACATTGTATTATTAAGCATGTAGTTTCTGTTCTTTCTTCCTGTGATCTCTTGTCTGAGAAGTCACAGCACTAGAAGGTCAGGGGAGAAACAAGAGAGCTGTGCTAATCCAGAGATGCCCTCTGATCAGTTTTCTAAGCACTACATCTGCCAGCATAGGCAACAGCCTGGATTTATCCGAGGCAGGCACACAGCTTCCACTGCACTCACAGGCATCTTACTCTTGCTGAGGGCAGAACTGGGCTTCAAAGGTTTGCTCAGAGGAGAGCTGTCATGCCAAGCTCCTCAGCAGATGCCCTCACTGCCCTCTGTGTACACTCAGGGAAGCTTTGGCTACCGTGCTTCTCAAAACTTCCCTTCCCAAAGCCACTAGATGCCACTGTTGGTCCAGGGACTGGTCAATGGAGCAGCTTAATCCTTGCTAAAATGGTATCTTTAGAGAGAAAATTAGCATCAGGGAAGAAGCAAAACTCACCTTTAGCTCCTGGTCGGCCGGGGTTGCCTGGAAGCCCTGATGTGACGTAGACAAACAATTTAAAATGGTTAGTGCAAATATTGTTGGCTGTATGTTTTTCAGGTACCCCAGATGTTTCACTTGTGGGTTTGCAGAAGGTGCTCCCTACTCAAGACCCCAGCTTTCAGCCTCTATAAGCAGGTCCCTGAGGACTTTATTAAGCAAGTGGAGGAACAGACTGAGCTAGTAGTGCCCCTGAGCTTCACTGGTCCCACTGCTTCCTGGATGATGACACTGCTTCATAGACTTACCTGTAGCTTCTGCTAGATATGGGTACCTGTCCTGAGGCTCCTGAATGAATTCCCTGATGAACTGATGGGCTGTCGCCCCCAACCACCTCTGCTTACAGATGTCACATCCTCTGTTCCATCTCTATTCCTACATCCTCTCTTCTGTTTCTGCTGCTGATTAGAAGGACTTTCAGTGATGAACAGGGAACTGAAATGTTACGTTTTGTAAATGTTATGTTATGTTATGATATGTTATGTTAGGCCAAAATTTAAACACTCAAAAGCCCTTCATTGCTCAAAAACTACATATCTTGCACAAAACCTGTCTCAAAAGCCAAGGAGATGCAGAAATCTTGGGATATCCCTTTGGAAGTCCTGGCCACCACAGAGTGAAAATTAAAAGGGTTTTTTGAGCCCATATCAGAGTGTGTCATTGATAAATTGGAGTATGGTAGAAAAGCCTACCTGGTGGTCCTTGGAGTCCTGTAAGACCTGTTAGAAAAAGGTGAAAACTCTTAAGATGTCTAAAAAATTTCATGGAGGAAAAGGACAGACAAGGAGAAAAAGATTACATTTATGTGAAATTACAGCACACAATTCACAAGTGGTGGAAACCAGCACAGCAACTGGTATGTAAATCAGCTCATAGCAGCTGATGTGTACACAGTGGGCAGTTTTGGGATCATAAAGGGTCTAGATTCACTTTGCATTTTTCTTTCATCACCACCTTAAGAATATAGAGATCCTCTGCAGACCTAAATTCAAATTAAGACTGGAAATTGACAAATATATCTGTGTTCCTGACTGAGCAAAAGCATTTTTGTTCTCTCTATGCTTTTACCTGGCTCTCCAGCATCTCCAGTGGGTCCTGGAGGGCCTCTGGCACCTGGCATTCCCATAAGGCCTGGTTCACCTAGGGATATAATCACCATTAACAAGACAGAAGTCACTGACATAAAATCTACCAATCCATTCAAGCTTGGCTGTCCTGCAGCACTTTCTACCTATTGTATTCTCACAGCCAAGTGGCCACCTCCAGCATCAGTGTCTAGGAGGAGAATATCAATGACAAAAGAGTTCTGTAGAGAGGTAACTCTGTCACAAGTTTATAGCCTGTTCCAATTTATGTCTCAGTTCCATGTTTACAGGTTGACTCTACAGTTCTGAGACAGAACTGCTGCCAGTCTTTCTCCCACCCCTTTTACAAATCAACCTCCTGCCAAATCAGAAAGTACCTGCACTTCTGCCTCAAAGGAAGCCCTTACCTTTTTCACCTGGCTGTCCATCACGACCCGCTTGTCCTGTCCAAAGAAAGAGATTGTCAGGGATATCTGAATACTGATTTGTCAGTACCACAGTTATCCTGCCTTCCTCCAAAGTGGAGCACAGCCCTAAACATAAGAGTGGTTTTTCATCACATTGCATCTGAAAGAAACCTTGGATGCAGTTACTGAAGATCCAGGAAGCATTCATTCAAAACTTAACTGTAGGGCATTTAGTCTGAGTGTACAGACTAATCACAGCTGTCTAAAGGAAAGACCAAGGATAACAACAAACATGATTCCACTCCCATATTGTTTCCTTGTCTGTGCTCACAGAAACACAATCTGGGACACAGTGACATTGTCTCACATAGAAATACAGCTGCTTTCTGGTACCCACCCACAGGTCCTTTAGCCCCTGGCTCTCCTGGAGGTCCAGGTATTCCTCTTGAGCCTTGTTCACCTGTAGCAAAATAGTATGAAAATGAATCAAACAACTCTTGGACAATTCTGTCAGCAATATTTGCTGCTTTGCAACTGAAAAACAGCATTGACAGGTGTTCAGGCCTCATGATTCACAGCTGTCTCCAGGTATTAGAAATGCTCAAGTGACATGAATACAGGGCATGTGAGAGAGGATTTTCCTAAAGCTAAACACAAAGATTATTACCAAGATTACTGGAATCAAGAATGGGATCTATTTGTTTAGAATTTTGATTCAAAAATAAAACTCCTATAAGCAGTAACATCATTATAAGGCTTCAGAAAGCTAACTGGGATTGGCTGGGCTATACTTTTATTAGGTTGGCTGTTACTCCAGTACTTTAATCCACTGACCTGTCATTCCACGAGAACCCTTCTCACCCTGATCACCTGTGGTACAAAAAAGGGAAGCATTCTGTGATATTGCTTCATTGTAAAATGTTTCCATCAGAGAAAATAAAGTCTGCTTTCTGACAAGAGCACTGAAGAAAAAGCCAAAGATGGATAAGTGTAAACCCTTTAGACAGTATCCATATCTAAAGAAATCTAAAGAAAACAACCACAAAAGATACCTAAGTGGACAACATACCTTTGGGTCCAGGGGGTCCACTGGCTCCTTTTTCACCTGAAACAAATATAGATGATTGAACGTAAGGAATAAGGATAAGGGAATAATAAGGAATATGGGTAGGGAAAGGCATTTTAATGCATCAAGAAAAATCATAAGGGAAATATGGATTCTGTGTTACCAGACAAACTCATACTGGAAATTCTTCTCCTTTAACACAACTCCATGCACCCCACCATTTTTCCTCTCTTAGACTTACCTCTATGTCTCCTGCATTTCTCAATGTTTTCTAGCAATCACTGACTAAGTTTGGTTTGCCTTCCTTTTCTTCAGCCTTATGCTTTTCTTTGCCCATAGAATCGAAATGTGACATGGTCAGACCAAGCCTGCTGCTCAGAGCAGTGCTAGAAAAGCACCTCAGCTAGTGCTGCTTTAATTGCCAGGGGGAAGAGGAAGTTACCTTTAGCACCTGGGAGTCCTGCTTCACCTCTAAATCCTTGTAGGCCAGGAGGACCTGAAGAAAAATGAGATGGGGGGTTTTCATTCATCCCAATCATCACACATCACATCCCAATCATCATCACAATGCATCACTGAAGTAGAAAAACTATGAGAAGCTGTCACTCTCTTTGTTCTCCTCAGTCTCTAGATGCCACAGCAAAGGAATGCAGCACTCACCTGGAGGGCCTTGTGGGCCTGGAGAACCCATGAGACCTGTAAGGAACATGGATTTTCTTTTAGTAACACCACAATTAGAAAATTAAAAAATTGCTTTCATTTTGCCCAACAGCATCCACAACCCAGCAGGTGTTCAGTGGATTGGAATTTCCCCAGTCACTAGAAGAATTTGCATTACTGGCATCCTCAAAACCAGGACAACAAATTTAGAGAACTTAGTTCTTGTGACATTGAGAAAATGTTTTCCACTTAAGTAAAGAGACCCAAGCCGTCCATCTCAGCTGAGATGCTGGGATCTGTGCTTCAGACCATTAGTTCACTTTTCTGGTTACTGCAGAGCAACACAAGTGAAGCAGGACAGCTGGGGTGCTCATTTACTCCTAACCTCTCTGCCAGGTACTCTCTCTCCATCTTCACATTTACCTTTTAGGCCAGCAGAACCTGGGGGTCCAGGTGGCCCTGGCGGACCTGGCTCACCAAGAGCACCTGCAAAATAAGAGCATGAATAGACAGGGTAGAATACAGCCGCGATCCCATTTTTGCATTATCCCATCTACAGTTATTCCTTCTCTGGCAAGTGTCATAATAATCTGCTCATCAGTTCAAGACACCCAAATAGATATGCATTGTCCAAGAAAAGAATATGAGCTCACTGAGCTTTAGCAAGATGAATACCCCAGCTTTGATGATCGGGATAACAGGGAAGAAGATAACCTTGACAGTAAAGTGGTATTGGTTCTATCAGACTCAAACTTGACTGTAAGATCTGGGAAACCAAAGCAATCCTTATTTACTCATTGTAAGTCTGGCAAAAAAAAATAAATCCTTTAGGCCATACTAATCTGTGCTGAGAAATCTGGATTTGAATAGTGAAATCAAACTTTATCATGAAGGTGTTTTATTAATCAGGACCAAACTCTTGCTTTTTTCCATCTCTGTTTTATCTGACAACAAGAGACTTGACTCTTACCTCTGTCTCCTTTTGCTCCAAATCCAGGTGGTCCTGGCTCCCCTCGAGGCCCTGGTATCCCTTCTCTACCTCTTTGTCCCATGGGACCTTCCATGCCAGGCTCACCTACAGGAAACAAATGCCCTGTACAACCAGGTGTCTGTGGGAGGTAGGCCTTGGGCAAAAGGATCCATGCCTGGCTCCACTGCAGAAGGCAATGATCACACCAGCCAGGTGTCTGTATTCCCATGCCACATGTCAGCCAGTTGTGAAAGACTCACAGCACTGACAGATGCTCACCCATGCTTCCCTTCTGTCCTTTTGGTCCTTCTGGTCCTGCATGCCCAATTGGACCAGGAATGCCTGGAAAGAAAACACAGTAAGCATTTAGAGCTCTTGACTATGTACCATATAAAAGAATAACAAGCAACTTAGGGGAACCTCAAACCTGAAGAGATTAATTCTATGGGATAAAGAATTAATATATTACTCATAAGGTGCGTACTTCTCCTTAGGAGAACACAATACATATAAAAGCACAAGAAAGCTGAAACAAGTATTTATGCAGCTGTAGGACTCTTTCAGTGGTAGAATGGAATCTTCACAATGCCAAATTCAACATATTCAACTAAGAGGAAGTCTGGCCAAGGCTTTGCTTGTGACCAAGTCTGAGCTGTGTCTGTAGCTCAGCACCAAGGTATTAATCAAGCGACTTAGTCTATGCTAAATATTGACTCTTTAGAGAACCACCTTGAGCTAAGTTCAAGGAATTTTGCAAGGAAGTGCAAAATTTGTTCTTGCCCACAGTAATGTAAGCAAATGTCCTCGTCAAAGAGTAATTGAACTATAGCCCACCTGGGACACCAGGAAGTCCTCGGTCACCTGTAGACAGAAACAAAGAGAGTCAGTGGGGAATAAGTCTTCTCTTTTTGTCACTTTGGATAACCCTAGCCCTCATAAAAATAAGTTTATGTTCCTGGAATATTTACAAGTTCTAGTGTCTCCAGCAATTGTCTCCCTTGTATTTATGCAAATAATTGAATCATTTACACCATGCAAAACCCTCTGAGAACTGAAGCACCCTGTGATTAAACCAGGTAGAGCCTGGCTTCAAGACTGACTTTCATCCAGGAGAAAGGAGCTTCTAGATTCAAAGTGAGATCTATCACCTCCTATACTACCACCTCTAAAATTTTCTTTGACCAGAAAATGAGAGAAAAACCCCAACCTTCACAATATCTGTACTAACCGATAACTAGCATCAGCTTCTCCAAATTCTGGAGTAACAAAAAACCTTGCTGCCCAGGCCCTACAACAGGCTGCCAATCTACCTGAGAAAGCAGGTAACTCCAGACTCACCTTTGGGACCTTGTATTCCCATGTCACCTGAGAAAAGTGGAAAAAAAAGTTGAAACAAGAGACATCCTATGATTACTCATTCATTTTGTCTTCTAGTTGCTTTGCCACCTTTAATGAAATACAAAGGAGTTGTGGCCAAATAGGACACTTCACACTTGAACAGTACAGGATCAGATCAAATTTGGCCTTTCACATTGGCAGAATGAAGGATTGGGCCTGCTGTATTGTTCTGTGTGGGATCAGGGTCTCTACAGTTAACATGGCAAACTGGCAGAAGCAGGACAGTGATTGTCCCCCTGCACTCAGCACTGGTGAGGCTGCACCTTGAGCACTGTGTCCAGCTCTGGCCCCTCAGTACAAGAAGGTCTTGAGGTACTGGAGTGAGTTCAGAGAAGGGCAACAGAGCTGGTGATGGGTCTGGAACACAAGTCCTGTGAGGAGTGACTGAGGGAGCTGGGGGTGTTTAGCCTGGAACAGAGAAGACTAAGGGGGGACCTTATTGCTCTCTACAGCTGCCCGAAAGGAGGGTAGTGAGCTGGGGGTGAGCCACTTCTCCCAAGTAACAGGTAATAGGACAAGAAGAAACGGCCTCAAGCTGCACCAGGAAGGTTTAGATTGGATATTAGGAAAAATTTCTGCACCAAAAGAGTTACAAGGAATTGGAACAGGCTGCCCAGAGAAAGAGGTTAAGTCACTGTCCCTGGAAGTATTGAAAAGACACATAGATGTGGCCCTTAGGGAGGTGGTTTAGTGATGGACATGGCAGTATTACATTTATGGTTGGACTCCATGATCTTCAAGGTCTTTTCCAACCTAAACAATTCTGATTATTTTTGTTCAAGTACAAACCCTATTCATCTTTCTCACTGCAAATTTCCCCTTGAAGCAACAACTACCCCAAAATTATGCATTGCCAGAGCCAAGGAACTGGACAGGGGAAGAGAAGGACTATATGGCTGTACCTTTCTCACCACGTTCTCCTCTCTCCCCTCGGAAGTAGCCTGTAACAGGAAGTGAAGGGGCTGTTAGAGTGCACTATACAATAGAGTAGCTACATTTCAAGAACAAGGACTCATCTATTTGGATTTGAGGCTACAAGCAGTACAGTATGGTTTTGTGAGTTTCCTCAGTATATTTGTTTTTGCAAATACATGAAATTTCTAAAGAGGGGAGAATGTTGGCTCCTCTGTTGTTAATCTCTTTTCATCATGTGCTAAACAGAAGTAAATAACCTTTCCCTTGCTAACAAAAGTAGCATGAGAAATAAGGTATGGGTCTGTTTTATGACTCTGCTCACCTCGTTCTATTTCCTTATTCAGTCTGCTCTTCACCATCAACCAGACTGACTCTTCATTTTCATATGGGAAGGTGGAGGAGAGTGAGTTACCGTGAAGAAAGTCTACTCTTGAAACATCCTTTTCTATTTTTGAATTCCCTTGGTTAAATGCCAGGAGGCCACCATTAATTTTTTCCAGGTCTTCCACACGAGATTTCAGCTTTCTCACTTCTTCAGCTGGAAGGTTAAAGGAAAATGCTAGGAAACATGCTGCCAGATATGCATGCCTGAAATATCTCCTGCTGTCACAGGAACATGGCAACACTGTGTCACAGAGCTAGGGCCACTGAGTTTTGCAGAATTCTTTGTATCTTTTTTTTTCCCGCCCTAGCAGGGATACCTGGAATTTAAATGACAACTTTGGAATCTGTCAGTCTCAGAGCAGTAGACCTCAGATCTCAAGAGCTTTCCTATCCTACTCACCCCAAGACTATATAACTTCTCAACAAAGACTGTATTCATTATCCATTCTTTCTGTCCATTTGTAATATCTCAGTGGCAAGTCACCATCAAGCTGAATGCTTTCCTCAGTTCTCTGGCTTGGTATCTCTGGTGCTTGTTCCCAGCTTAAACTCTCTGTCCTTCTCTACCATTCAACATTTTTTTCCTCATTTATTTCTTACCCAGAGCAATGAGTCCAAAAAGCAATCCAAGGAGAAACAACCAGGCTAGAAGCAAACCCAGGAGCCATTTCCACCAGCTACAGCAGGAACCACAGGGACACCAGGATGGTGTTGATCCAACTGCACCTCCTGCATCACCACTTCGTATTTCTGGAGGACGGAAGGAGCAATCTCCTGGTTAATGAAGAGTTCCTTGACTTCAGAGTTACGAATCTCTTACAATAAGGACATCAAGGTCTGATCCTTTATACAAAGGGCTATGAAAAAAATCTTCATGCCACTCTGTGCACATGGTGAGTGTAATTCTAGTCCCTGTGGAAGCTGGAAGCAGTATATTCAAAGGGAATTCAAACAGGGGACAAAAACGCTAAGTGCATTTTAAAATAACAGCTGGAAAACACGATCACTTAGAGGTAAATTTTTTGTACAGACCTGAGCCATAAATGACAGCAATAGCCAGCATAGTCTGTCTGAGCCATCTCTTCCCCATAAATCTGTCCCAGTAGCAGGATATAGCTGGACTGCCATCTATCTGATTTTCTCTAGTCATAAAAAAATACCCCAACTGTCCATTCATCTACAATCAAATCACCAGTACCAATTTCTCTGGTAACCTCCTGAACATTCTTTCCCTCTGATTCACTGCTCAGAGATCACTCATGTCCCTCAAGAACAATTGCTTTTTTGTATACTGTGCTTTGGTGCTTCTTCCAATGAAAGTTTGAGTTGCATCACTTACCTGCATAAGTTTCCTTGTCCCTTTTTGGCATGGATTTCAGCCCTCCTGTTTTAACAACAGTAAAAGAGGTTTTACCATTCTTTCTGTTCATGACAAAATTCAGAGTGTGGGTTTGAAAGGGAAAGGTAGTAATGGAGGCAGAAGGAGAAAGTTCTGTTGCATTTCTGCAGGAACAAATTCCTACCATTTGCATCTGATTTTAGGCCAGTATCTGTAGCATAAGAGGAGGAAAATCCCTGCTTCTCTTTCTTCAAGGTGTCTTCTACAAAAGATCCTGAACAGGAACCAAATATAATTGGAAACATTACACCAGAAGTTAATCCAGGGCTATCTTCTTTCATTGGTAAAAGGTGTATTTTTCTTGGGAAGACACAATAGCTCTGCCTGTCTCAACCAGATCTAGTTTTGTTTTTCTCAAAGCTCCTGAGCTTTGTGAAATATCCCAAGGCATACTCTGGAGCTTCAAATGCAAAAGCCAGACTCAGGTTTTAGCTGGCATGGTTAAAAGCTGTCTGCCTGTCAGAGGTTCTCTCTCATATGATGTACAAGCCAGGTATAGTGGCCTAAATGCTGAACTTCCCTTATGATTAGTCTTCATTTCTCTGCCCTCAGAATAACCACACGTCCTGAAAAAGGGACATTACCTCCATTAAGCCCAGTGTTAGAAGCATTAAAGACTTTGCCAGTGTCCTTTGTCATGACCAAGAGCTCCATCTCCTTTGCTGGTGCCTTCTCCTTCTCCAGCAGCAGGAACTTGCAGTCTTTGCGCAGAACATCATCTCCCTGGGAGCTCAAAACAGTTCCTCCTGGAATATTTGTAAAAGATGGTAAAGAGGATATAAGTGTGGGCCATTGAGTCCATAACTACAAGCCACATCAGTTTTGTTTATAAAAACAGTTGGTCACATTGTGATTGGGGTTGCCACTACAGTAAGAGCCCTCTAAGAGACATACTGGTTGCTAAAGGTAACAGGAGAGCTGTGCATGTCATTAGGTCTCTTTGGAGATGTGCATTTCACTAGCAGGGGAGCCCCTGCTGCCAGAAATGGAGAACATCTGGAATTCAATCATATGTAGAATTGATTTGCTCAATGAGCTCTTTGATCCTCAAACGCATTTCCTGTGGAGTCAGAGAAACTCAGCATGAGAGAGATATTCAGGGGCCAGCAGAGCCAGCACAGCTCAAGCTGAGGAGCCCATCAAGCACTGCCAAGTTACTCTGTCAAGCACAAAGCACTCCCTATCCCGGGAACCAGGCAGGGTTAGGAGACACTGAACTTCAGATTACTGAGGTTTGGCACAGGCCAAACAAGGTTCAAAACCATCACTGTGGTCACTCTTATCCCACTAGGCATTATGAAGTATGTCTGGAATGGAGTACAAACATGAATTTGCACACTGACACAATACTGAAAAACAAAATAAACAGAATGGTATTATTCCATTACTCTAGCAGAACCTGGAGTAAACCTTTATTAGAAATGTTATCGTAACTTCTGTGGTTTTTATTTTTAAGCCTCATCTTTGGGAGTCCTTGGATTACAAGGTAAACTGGGAAACTTAAAAAAAAACCTCTGTTATTTATAACTGTTAGAGTTGCAGAAAAGAGCTGGAAAAGATGAATCCTAACTGTTCAAGGACAAAGGGCTTCTCTCATTAAAAATACATAATCTGATCACGTATAAGTCAATTCCTTCAATTTTGAATGGTTGAAGCTGGTACAACTGAAAAATTATTTTTAAGAGCAACCTTGCAAATGTTTTGGCTTCAGATGAAGTACAGTTTCACACGTGTGCTCTTCTATCCAGCCTTCTGACTGCTGAGCAGAAATAGCTCAGAATTAAACAATCCAAACTACTACAAAGATCTGAATCAGACCAGTTCATTTGCTCATTCTTAGATTCTGACTCTCTTTCTTTCAAGGAAGGTACTGGTAGGAGACTTGGCTAGTGACAAGTTATGCACCTGAGTGTCACTCAGCTATGCTGAATCTCAAACTAATTTTTATGATATACCTGTACAAAGCCATGCCTAAACACCTATGAATGACACACTCACCTGCTGAGGCAGACACACCAGTACTTGCCATGGTGTTGCTCTGAGAAGTGTTCTTTATCCCATATGCTGCAAAGAAGAAATTCAACAATGACAGAGATGAAGGATAACAAGGGATCTACACACACCAAAGCATTTCAAAAATCTTTTCTCATTCAGTGTTCCTAGGACAACTCAAACAACCAAGGGTTTCCCCATCAAGCAAATCTCTAGTGCATCAGCACTGGGAGCTGATCCTGCACATGCAAAGCAGAGGAAATGTTCCTCAATATCCCTTCATACCACACTGTGCCACAGAAGAAGATGGTGGTGAGGGGGCCTCTGTCAAGATGAACTTTCTAGTCACTACAGAAAAGATGGGAGAAGGAAGCACACATTGGTGACGCTCACACTTTCTCTAGGCTTACTTTGTTGCTGACCTGCAGAGGCTGCTGTAGCATTCTGGGCTGTAGAAGAAGAGCTTGGAGACAGGTTGTTTTGGACTCCAAATACTGCAAAGAAAAGCATTGCAAAGAGGGTTATAGGAGTCCTACAGTGCAGGTGGCATTCTGGCTAAAACCCAAGCAAAACCAGTGATGTGAAAATAATGACCTCTCCCAACAAATTTCACCAGCTTTCTGGAGGCACCACAGGCCTCACAAAATATTTTGTAACTTAGTTCACTTTGCTGTGTTGTCATTGCTGGTCCAGAACAATAAAGGTGACCATTTTAAAACATTAAGTTACATTGCGAGGCCACTCTCACTGCATGGACATTTCTGCAGGTGGGGAAAAGAGCTGCTGGCACTCAGATGAGGAATAGGAGAGAAACTAGTATATAGGTATTATTTCACTGTACTTGTCTGCCAGAAACGTGGTGCTGTCAAAGTGTGAAGGGAAGAAAAATCTGACCTGTAGAGGAAGAGCTCAGGCCTGCATTCAGAGTATGATTGCTGGGGGCCAGGTTATTTGGAACACCAAAAACTGCAAAAAAGAGGAAGTTAAATGTTATTACTTCTCTCAAATCATAAATCCAACACCCAAAGGTCAGTGGCACAGTCACAGAAATTTAGAGTCAGCTTGGAAAGCAACTAATGATAATGCACAATAATTGCACAGAGGAAAAATCTTGAAAATTGTGACAACAAAACATCCTACCTCAGACAAGATGAGATCATGTGACAGTGAGAGAAAGTAAAGCTTTTAGTATGCCATCATAAAGCTTCTTGTGTTTTTTCTCTGTAACTGGGGAATGCAGAATCCCTGGCATTTAGAAATCGGCCTCACCAGGTGTAAGAACACAAAATCCTTACTTATAACATTTTTAGTATATGAGCCATTCAATTCTTTAGTATATTGAGCATTCTTATCTTATTGTAAGATAATAAAATATTAATTTGAGTCTAAATTATTTTTTATAGGGAATGTGAGCTTGACCTCATTGATAAAGATGTCATCAAAATTTAGTGACAGTCAGAGAGTCAGGGCAATAAATCCTCACAAAGAAGGATTTTCAGATACAGTCAGTGTAGAAGCAGAAGGCACCAAATTACAGAAAACCAGATAAAATTCAAGTATATCCCTTGTCATTTTGTTTCTTCCACCATTTTAGCTTGTGCTGTGCAAAAAAAACCCAGCTTTTGACCCAATTTCAGGACAGGTCCATCCTTTCAAACCTGGGCAATCCAGGGAGCATACCTGATCCTGTAGAGTGAGACATGGCATTGATCAAGGAAGAGCTGTTATGGTATCCACCAAGGGAAGACCCAGCAGGCAGAGTGGAAGACCACATGTATGAAGGGAGGGCAGTATTCAGTATGGTTGTGTCATATGTCCCCGACACTGTAAAAAACCAAGCAGACAGAAGTGGTTTTCAATGAGGCCAGGTTTGTGGCTTAGCATGCACTGCAGGTTTATAGGGCAAACAACTTACATTTCAACTACCCTTGTAGAGTTGATGCAATGACTCCAGGTTAGCACGGCATAACTGGCCTCAAATGTCAGCTGATTACAGCCCACACAAATTTTAACCAATGGAATAAAAATGGACCTGATAGCATATCATTTCACAAAACACCTTGAAGAGATTTCATTGCTCATAGATGTTATGGTACCAGAATAAACCACCCCAGTCTGCCATTCCATTAATACATCACCCTGGGCCATGGGGTATATGGCTTTTGCTTCCATATATGTCTCTGATTGGTTCTCTAGTGTATTGGACTAAAATTCTGTTTTAGACAGGATCAGAGCTCTGAGTAAGACAGAAGATATTGTTCTTAGATACTGGTGGAAGACAACGGAGTCAATGTCAATGCCACTTCCTCAAGCCCTGTTGTGAAGTGTATAAATAACTAAAAAAGGTTGTAGTATTTTAAGTACCACTTCAGTTAAAAATCACAGAATGGTTTGGGATAAAAGGGACCTCAAAGATCATCTAGCTCTAACCTCCTGCCATAAGCAGGGACACCTTCCAATAGACCAAGCTGCTGAAAGTCTCATCCATCCTGGCCTGGAACACTTCCAGGGATGGGGCATCCACAACTTCCCTGGGCAACCTGTGCCAGTGTCTCACCATTCTCAAAGTAAAGAATTCCTTCCTAACACCTGATCTCAGCTTGTCCTCTTACAGTTTGAAGTCATTCCTCCTTGTCATGTCATATAGTTCCTGAAGAGTCATTATCAAATGGTATGGCAAATAAATCACTCACTGAAATGTTGTCTTCAGTCCTATCTCTATCTCACTTGGAGATAAGACATCAAATTGGTCTCAGACACATTTGCTTAGAGCTCTTATCTCTGCTAGAAATACCTCTGAATAAAAGCTGGTGGCAAAGACTAGTTTTGTTTTTTTTAAATTAGACTAGTCTCTAGAAAGATACCCAAGATGGCTCTTGTTACGACAACACCTGGATATTCTTTCAGCATTCTGACCCTTTTTCTGTATAGGGAAACCATGTATTCTTATCTGGATGTTCTTAGCAACTGAGTACTTTTTATGGCAAATGCTGTTTGGAGTGACTGTAACATTGCTAAAGGCCAAGTACCTGACTGAGAGCTCTCAGTGACCATCTTCGTCTCCACCACAGCCTTTTTCGGTATTGGGAGTGTACTGGATGGCGACCGAGTAGGGCTGCAGCTGGTAGATCGACTTCCTTTCAGCAAACGTTTCACATCATCCAACTCTGTCCCTAGCAGGAAAAGCAAGCATCTAGAGTCACCCAAAAGACAATGTTTCATTGATCTGTAATCTTACTCTGGATCTAAATCATTCAGTGGAATTTATCTGCATGTCTATGAAGTTGTTACTTTCTGGGGGTGCCACTTAATGACGAAGTTCCAGAGGATGTTTCTGGGACTAAGTACATTTTACATCTTTGCAAGAGCACCACCTAACCCACAGCATGCTTCCCTGCCCAGAAAAGGGACTCAAATTAATGTTCTTAACAGGAAAAGACATAACCCTAGCAGCAACACCCTTTATCTTATCCCTGATACCCCTGGAATAACTTACATCTGCCAGAGGGAGATGCGCTCTGCAGTCGGACTCGTATTTCACTCTCTGGGAAGATAAAAAGCAGATCATGAATATGGAGAGAGATGAATTTGTGCCCTTGGCTGGGAATGACTCTTTAGGCTGAAGTGAATTCCTTCCCCCTTGCTGTCTATGTTCCACCTTGCTGTCTTGCTTCTTAATCTGAGCAGTACTCATGGCCCATGTGAATTGATTGCAAATGGGCTTGGATGACTTTTTGTTTTGGGGTCACATTTTGTTACTTTAAATTCCAGGGAATTATATTTCACTCATTGATGTTGTCTGCTGAAGTTAATAATGCTGCTACTGTCAGATTTACACAAGGTCAAATTCAGCAGTCCTCAATCACACTGGTATTTCCGCTCATCACAAATATTATTTTTATTGTCCTTCTGATCAAAAAAATTAGAGAGCCAAAATAAGTTTACTAAATACACAAATTCCCTACTACTTCTTGGGTAAAACTGACATATCTTCAATGGGCTGTATGACTCAGTCTTCATGATTCAGAAGTTACTATGTGCTGACTTCTGTTTTGGCTCACTGAATGTAACCAGTCCAGTTTTCAGCCAACATTCTCACCAGGTACTCAATGCTATTACCTTAGTTTTACTGGACCTTTACTGTCCAGCACAAGAAACTACAAAATTAATGTGATTTGGCTGGGGTAGGCCCTTAAACTTGCTTCCCACAAGCAAAGTGGCCAGCCAGAATATGTGATGCATGCTCCTCATGATGAAATCTGACAGTGCATGCACTAGAAAAGAAATACTATCTTGGCTTTCATGTGGAGAAGATGATGGATTGGAATTATTTTCTGAAGTAAAATGAGAAGCTGGACCTGATTCTCTGGTGTCTACTTTATTATGCATGGCCTAGCTCTGCTGGGAGCTCAGGTATGTAGTGTGCTAGAGGAGACTGTGATGATCTGAAGCAGAATAATTGGGAATGTGACACTCTCCAGAAGGACTGTGCAAGACCATGGTGTGATTTATACCCACTTCTAAAATTAACTTGAATAAAGTGACATTATAGTTTCCTCTTCAAGCAACTCAAAACGGATACTACATTATTTGAGACCAAGATAATCCTTCTTTCCCCAACACTGTTAATAAATTATTAGAAGAGCTGAATGATTTAAACAATGCAGAACTTTACAGTGAGCTGGCTATACAGACCACAGTAAGTCTGCAATTTCCACACCATCTCTTTACTACCAGCATGAGATTATTTCAGGGTATGGCTTCATAGTTTGCAAGACAGATCACCGTAGGAGAAGCATGAATGCAATTACTGTAAATGTGTCAGAGGCTGGTCCCAGAGCATGGATAGACTAAGGTTATGATAGTGAACAGACAAGATGGAAGACTATGTCCTGTGCCCCCAGACAGCCAGGTTTCCAAGTAGATCTTCCTTCCCAACAAAGTCCGAACTACCATGACCTTCCCTAAGGTCAATTTTTACACCAAGCTTGTTTAAACAACTGCTTACAGATTCATGGTTCACATCTGAAGTGGTGCAGATCCACGTACCTCATCTGACTGCTCTACACATAAACTGGTGGATTCCAGCTAAACAGGCCTATTTAACACACCTGAATTATGCTGAACTGAAAAAAAAGAGGCTTTTCAAAGAATAGCATCACTCACCTCGACTTTGGCTTCTCCCTCTCGTAGAGGCAGATGCTGTGAAAAGCAATGAAAGAAAAGCCATATTAGTCTTTACTGCCTGTGATACCTCTGAAAATCAGCACACTGATCTCGCTCAGGTTGCTTATATTCAGACAGTAACTTTTCTTGGAGCACTGCTGGAAGAATTGAACAATTAAGAGTTTTTACAAGGCCTCTTTTAGACCACAAGGTATCTTAAAGAATCAGCAGCACCTTTACCCTTTCTGGACCAGATATTGTTTCTTTTTATACAGAGAAATGCTGTTTGTAGATGGTGATTCCCATTTCAAACGGCCACAAGGAAGTTAGGAGGCCTATTGACCCCACTGACCAATGCTGGATCTTGCGAAACCCTGCCTCCTCTATGAGCCAAAAGGTGACCTGATCATAATGTTTCACTATCTTCACTGAGTAAAATCAACAGCTCAGAGTTTGGATGGGGCAAGCTAGTATCTGCTGACAATGTTCAGTGTAAATATATCACTTGATAGCCACTTCATTTTTCCATATATATTTGATGAAGTCTAAAAATGAGCTACTGGAAAAGGATATTCAGCAATGACTGAAAATCCTAAGAGTCTGGACTTTCTTGTTTGCAGCTGTTCTCCCAGCTATTCTGGAAGGGTGAAGGGAATGCTATGAAGTATCCCATGTCTGTCTTCTCCTGTCCATGTCCTGTGTCATACAGGAAGCATCACAAAAGCAGCTGAGAGTAGCAGATATACAGCATGCACTCTCTGTTTAAATATGATCAGCTAGAGACCTGACTTTCAGCTGTTAATGTAAGTCCCAAATAACTTCATGATGGCCCAATACAGAGGTAGCATAGGTAGAGCAGGACACAGCAATGTGCAAAAAGCCATTATGGTCATCAACTCACATGACCTTGCCATAATGTTCAGAGGAAGAGCTCTAAAAAGGACATACCAAAATCTTTTCTGGGAACCTCAGGAGAAGAGTTGGCACTGGAGCTCCCTGCAAAGAATAGTAAGGTGTTCATTAATACTTTGCAGAAGATCATTAAAAGCTTTCAAACATGTCTCCCTGGCAACTGTTTAATCTCAGTGGGTAGCAACCATTTCCATTTAAAAAAAAGAGCTATTCAAGTTTCACATGAAAGAGCTGCCAATGTCTTTCAACAAATATATGCTACAATTCCTTTTAGGAATGAGCATTACTCTTAGGATAAATAAGACTTAATGATTAAATTGTGTCCCTGATGGCTTAATTCCTAGGGAAACCACAATGGGATTGGGGACAATTCTGCACTAATGTGACCTCAGAGAGCACTGCATATTGCCTCCCTTCCATGGCATGTTCTGTGATACCTTCATATGTTGCATGGCGGTTGACATAGGTTTTTCTTTCAAATGTTGAGCCAGGTGATTTGGTGAGAGTAGAACTGGGAGACTGGGCTTGTCTGTAGCTGGAGGATGATGATGTTGAATTCAATCTACCACTTCCACCTAAAGATAAAACAAAATGCCCTCAGCAAATGGAAGAGAAACCCTGGCAGTACGCTCTGGATGCCCTAAGTGCTTTACGTTACCATCCTCTCAGCTGGACAAATTTGCATTGGTGTTTCACAACTAGAGATGGACAAGAACAATATCAGGGTCTAACTCTGGGGGTCCTCAGCATTCATGGCAGAGAGAAGCATGGGTTATCGTTGTTGTTTCAAAACAAATCTTGTCAATAATATGTATGAAACCAAGTTCTGGCCTAGGATAATAGTGAACCATCTCCCTTGAGCAGGAACAAATCTAGCTCTGGATGATGCTAAGTTTTGGTTAGGCTATAGATTCACTTGTAAACTCAAGTGTTATGTGACATAGGCTACAAAAACTGGGAGACTGTTAAACCAAACTCAAAGTGCTAAAGGATGTAATTTATGAGATAATGGAAAGCAGAGATGAGTCCACTCCCATAAAGCAGCCATCCACACTCCCACTTAGTCCATTTTCTGGAGAAGTGATTGAGGTGCGCATGAGGCCCAAGACAGCCTGGAGGTTATTAGTAGCTGTTACATGTAGACAGAAGAAACAATTTGCCTCCTAATTCACATCAGTGCTGTGGAGGAGGAACACATAATGAATGTGTTCATACTCTTGCACAAAATCTAATGCTGGAGAGTATGATCAGGGTGCAGCAAAAAGGGAGCTCTGTGATAAACTACAACCTAGCTGTGCTGACCAGCAGGATCAAACTGGATATTGTTCACCCATCCCTACAAAAAGTGTGTCCTTTTGGACTCAACAGTGTTTTTCTGCCAACTTCCCCTCTAAAAGGACCTGTTTTGTTCTGCTCTTATTTTGTAACTTTTCCATTAAATTCAGCAGAAAGAACTACTGTGACAAGTAGGCCTCTGTTAGAGGCATTCTGTAAGAAAGTGGGAAAGACTACAGAATGCTCTGTGAAAATGCAAGAATACAGTATCTCTGAAGTTCAAGTTCTTTCTCTTCTTCCTCATACTGAAAAGAAATCAAAGGAAGATGGTAATTCTGCATGGTCCTCTGAGTCTGGGTTCAGTTCTCACACTGGTGCCAGTCCAGACAGTAAGACCAACATCAGCACTGGAGTTACTTCACATGTGCCCTGAGGCAAAGTGATTCCACACTGGCCTTTAACTGGCATGCAGGTGCCTGTCAGATCTCTTTGGTATAGCTAACTCTCCCCTTGAGCTTCCAAAGTGCACTTCACTTCCTTTGGTTTGTCAGCTCCCTTGCAGCACAGAGAACATTTTCCAGAAGGAGTTATACAGTCAGTCCCCCTGGGGACAGAGAAGTGTGCCAGGTACCTGGCTAGGAAGCTTAGTCTTTAGAAGCCTTTGCTATGACAATCTAACAGCTGGGCAAAGAATGCTGTTAGAGAAGAATCCTGGTTTTATGGAGTAGGCAGCACACACTGATTTTAGCACGTCCAGAAAATCTGTCAAAATGTTGAAAGTGCTAAAGCCATGGACACACAAACATAAGAAAACATTTTCTAGGAATTTCTTTAATAATATTCTACCCTCAGCAAGATCAACAAAAAGATTAATCAAAACTGTCTTTAGAACAAAAATGGTCAGAAATACTGTGATTTGGAAAAACTGAAATTCAGTTTCTGAATGACTTCTTAAAAACAGTAGGAATGACATTTTTTGTTGTTGTTCTCCTGAAATTAAATTTTCCCTGTGGAAAATGGGACTTTTGCCATTTACTCATCCATTTTCAAACCCAGCTTTAAGGAAGGAATATCTTTGCTCTGTATATGTATTTGCCACTTCTACTTTCATAATAAATCCTGTTTTCCTTGCCCCTGGCTCACCCTACCTCCCTGCCTTGAATCTCTCCTCAGCCCATTTCTTCTCCCTTTGCTCTCTGTTTCCCATGGGGCAATGCTTTAATTCCTTACTTGAGGTCACATAGCTTCCATGGCTGTACGACCGCTTTTCCACTCCACTCCCTCCAGTGTGGGATGATGTTTTGAGCCCACTGCTGCTTCCTCCTTCTGAAAGAGATAAGCACAAAATGAGACATTGTCTCCAGGCAGGAGATAGGAAGAGCAAGGACACTGCAAGAGAAGGCAGGAGGGACCCAAAGTTGTCCACACACTCAATTACAAGTACAGCTTCATATCTGGTGAGAGATCAGAGGTGCAGAGAAGTGTCTTGGCAGAGCCAACAAGCATTCACACTCCACAGCCAGCAGGTTTGTAGTAAAGTTTTGCTTCATACACAGACTGAAGGATACTCCTGTTAGCCCTCATCATAAATGAGATGATAATGCAATTCCTTGCCAACTCAGCTGCAGAAAACTAATCAAGGATATGGTGAGATAAAGAGTGCGGAGGATTATTTCCTATTTGGAGCTTGTACTTCTCTGCAGAGGTAGAAAAGACCTGTGACCTCTGATATTACTGAAAAGATTCACTCACTGTTGCCAACTGGGTAAGATGACAGGGAAATAATACGCTGCAGTATTATTATTCCACAGCCCAAGCACTGGAACCTGCAGACCCATCACTTTTGATCCTTGTTCCCAACAGACAATCACCACTGGAGATCCTATATCTGGACTTAAATCTTTGTAGAGTCTGGTCTTCTAGTCTTAGTAGAGTATGTGGCTTTGTTTCTGACAATATCCACACATCCCCAGATACTACTCCTCTCCAATAACAAGTATTTTGGGAGAAAGAAAGGCATTTCTGAAAATTGCTTTCTTTTGGGTACAGATCTTCATGCACTGAGACTTGCTGCACCCAGGGATTTATGGACATAATGGAAATCATGTAGCCAAATAAATAGCATAGAGAGGCACAGAACACCAAGCAGAAGCAATGCAATGACTGAGAATTACTTACTGGGTGGCAAGGATGTCAGTCTTGTGGTTACAGTCTCTGTAATAACTGAGGGAAGAAAAGGGTGCAGAATTAATGGCATGTTAATACAGTCAGACTGGATCACTGTTTTACCTATTCTCCATGCAAAAGCATGACTAGTTCAAAGAAGATTTACTCATTTAAATAGAAGTCCCTTAAGACCACACTGCCTGAGGCTGTAATTACAGGTTCATTATCACACAATGCTGTGTTTCTTTGCAGGTTTTTCTAGCTCTGAATAAGAACATTACTGCCATGATTTTTTTTTTTTCTCTGTACAAGATCCCTGTAAAATTTCTGGGCACTTCTGAACTACAGCCATTGCTGTAACAATAAAGCCCATGGTTAAATCCCTTAGCAGCTTCCTACTAGTTAATTCTCATAAGGTCAGTAGAAAATTAACCTGTTTTACACAAAGCCACTAGACAATTTCTAGGCTACCCAGGGCATTGGTACCAGAGGTAGGAGCAGCATCCCAATGTCTGCACTACTGGTTAGAAATGCTACCACAGGGTAATAATCTGGTTAAACAATCAGGTCATGATATCCACCTCTAAATGTCTGATCATGGCCCATTCTATTCCTTATTCTGACTTCAACACAGAGACCAGGGCCAGGAGCAGAATTTAGTTCTGGGCCTCTGGTCAGCATTTATTCCCTTACAGAAATGGCCATTCACTTCTGGGATTTTTGGAGTGTGCAATAAAAATTAAAAATCTCTGCCTTACGTCTTTCAGTAACTTCTGATCCATCTTGCCTCGTTTTCTTTGTTATAGAATCCATATCATTGCCACCTGCAAGGAGAACAGAGGGACTGCACTCAGAGCTCTGTGAAGAGTAAGAAATGACAAGAGCTCCCCACACACCCACCACTTTGCTTTGGATGAGGACTAGACTGCCTGGAAGATGTCAGTGCCAGGGAGTTTACAGAGCCCACCCAGAGCCATATGAATACTACTGATGGACTGCCACCTACAACACTGGATGCTGCACAAGGCAGCAGAGCTGAAACACCAGGAGGGGCTGAAAAGCCAGCTGGTGAGATAGACACAGTTGAAGCAAATCCACTCAGTGGTGGAGTTTAGACCTGAATTTATATCCAGACTACACTACATTATGGTCTCCAGCTGTGCCCCTATAAAGGTTTGATGAAAACCAGTGGATCCAAACACCACTCCCACACATCTGTTCTGTGCAGGACTCAACAGCACAGGATTAACTGCGCAGGCAAAGCTGCAGGAGTAAGCTACGTGCACCCCGCCAGCACTGCCAGAAAAACCTCAGCAAATATACTACTGCTCTGCTAACAGTAATAGTACATTCTCAGGGCTCACTCATGCTAAAGCCACTGGAGGTACCTTTGAACTAGCTATTTTTGGCAGCATGGAACTTAAGGTAGGAAGTGCTTTATCTTGCTTTACAAGCAGAGCAGCAACAGTTTGGAGACCCTGTCTGTGGCTTTGGAATCTGATCTACTTTAATGCCAGCTCAGGTCAGTCTACACATGTTGCTGTGAATGCTGTGTACACTCTTTTTCATTACTTGGATCCCTCTCTGGTCAAAATCATAATCTCTGCCAGAAGTATGACTCTCTGCCAAGGCAGGAGTGCCACAAAAATACCATGATTATGGTAAAGAGACATCAGCTAGAAGAGAAAACACTTCTGTCAGAAGGAACCACACAATTGCTCACTCCTAGTCTTGCTAAGATAACATTTCATCTTGTGCAGCTACAGACAATGAGAAGGAAGAGATTTTAATTTACACACAAGCTCACCATAGGCCAAAATTCTTCACTGGATTTGAAGTCTCCTCTTCAAAACTGAAGGCCCAGCTGTACCAAACATTAAAATGCTGAGGCTAAGAAAAGCTTTGCAGAAAATTCATTCCAAGTTTTAAAGCCCAGCTTGATGCAGAACCCAAGACCATGTCCCCCAGTTGTGTTAAATTTGAGTTTGACCTCCATGATTCCTCTTACTCTTCTGTAAACTGCAGCCCCCTTGATGTCACACTTGTACTGCCCAGATGTAAATACTGACACAAGGCAAGATGCAGCAGAGAATCTACAGGAATATCCAACATTCAGATTCAATTCTGTCTTTAACGCCATTCCCAGATCTGAACAGGAACAATTTGAGTGGAGAAGGCACAGTGCCAGCCAAGCCACTTGAGCCCCCCATGATAGACTCATATGCACTTTGCAGAGAACACCACAGTGCCCACAGCCCTCACTCTGCACTGCTGCCCCTGAGCTTGTCTAAACAGCCCTGTAAACGGAGCTCCTGAGGTCACATCCAAGTCTTTACACAACCTGGTGGCAGCAGGATGCTGCTCAACCCTTACAACGCTTGCTAACATTAGGGATTTCCAAGGGATTTTCCAGGGTGTTGATTCCAACACATATGCAAGACTCGAGCTACATGCATTAGGAGAGCTTCTCCTCCAGCAGGGTAACAGTCCTCTGCAATAGAAGGGTTTCTGGTCATTCACTCCAAGGAAAGGCATTATCTCAGCAACTCTTTCTTACTGCATCAACAGTGGAAGCGTCTTTCAAGCTCTCTCCCTAAAAATATGCTGGAAGCTGTTATCTAGATGTCAGCACTGTTGGCTTTATCAGTGTTTTTGGCAAGAAGCACAGTTTTATATTTGGAAATTGCTTTCCTACTGCTTTGTAGGGTAGGCTACTGCTTTGTAGCCCCAGAACTCCACTTTCTCTCTGCTATTGGGAGGCAGTGCTGGTTATGGATGCTGGAAGAGGCCAGCACCATCATGGAGTGAATGCATCTTCTGCATCTTTGCCTTCCCTTGAGAAAGGGAAGTATTTTGATGTGATATCAATTAGGAAAAAAAATAAAATAGGTTAAAGTCCATCTTTGGAGCCATGCATGCCACAGTCCAGCCCCAGCACACAGTGCCTTTGCATGTGTGCTTGGCACATGGATGCCAGCAGACTGACTGTGCTGCACTTCCATTACCTGCCAGGCCTGACTCATCTCCCCAGCTCCTATCTGGAGTCACAAAGGCATAGCTGTGGGCTATGTCTGTGGCACAGCAACAACACTGTTGAATCAGAGAAGTCTTCTGCAGTCATCTCAGAGCAACAAGCAGCAACTTGTGAAGTAGGGTCACTCAGTGCAGGAAGGTAAGTCAGCAACACTATGGTTCCTTTTACATAAGCTCAAGGGATGTAGTGTGCTTGTGGCACCCCCAGAAACAGAGAATTTGCAGCCATTACTGGCACTGGGAACCAAGAAAAGTGTGGCACTGCCACACTTGTGTAGGCTGCTTCTTCTTTGTACAGCATTGAAAGCAGGATAGTAATAACTCCCCTGCACTGCAAGACATGCTCAGACCTGTGCTTTCCACAAAAGCCTGAAAATGCAGGGTATCTCTTGCACCCCCTGTTCCACTTCACTGCGGTGCAGCACACTGGCAAGGACACTAAGCCATTCTGAGACAGGACATTCAATTCCCTCTAATAATTTTAGAATCTAGGTATTGTATGCAATGGTAATACAGTTTATTACTGACATTTTTCAAAGGGAAGTGGAATAGCCACAAAGGTGGTTATTTGGTGGAAAAATAAAAGCAAGTACATTTCAGATACTTTTATCCCTCCATAATGTTTTCCCAGTTTTCATCTCAAATGCTGCTGTAGTCACAGCACATCCTTTCAGCTCTCTCCTCTCTCCAGAGGTTCCTGCTGTTAGACAATTCATTAGGAGAAAGAAGCACCTGTAGGTGCTGAGATTAATAATATTTAATGTCAGCAGAACCTTTTGATCATGAATACTCTGAAACTCAGCAGATGCATTCAAATGATACCACTGACTATGCCTCCCATCATATCACATGTCTTTTAGGGTGTCCCTTCCTCTTAACCAAGCCTTTCAGCTGCCATTGGCCTGGAACTAAAAGAACTGGGAAAAAAATGGTCCCTTATCTCTTTTGATCCTACACACTTGGAATTTGATCTACTCATTCTGCTCTAAAAGCTGTTCCTTTCAAGTCAGTTTATCAAAGCCACAGTGAGAACTGAATAAACCAAATCATACTTCCAAATCTGCTCATTTTGTAGGATGAAATGATGCAAATGCCAGGGAAGCAGGTTAGATGCCCAGCCAAAGCTGTAGAAAACCAAATTCTGCCCTGCCCATAGCCTATCCTGGCTTCTTTGACAGCAACATGTGCTCATATCTCAGAGCACAATCAACAGCACTGCCCAGATTTCACTCTGTTCTGACAGACATCTTCCTCTCAAAATTATGTCCTTGCTTTCTCTACTTAACTGTGACACTCAAAAAGAAATAGGCCATTCTGACCTGCACAAACTTCTTGGCTCTGGCACAGAAAAAGAGACAAAGAATCTAGTATTAATAAAAAAAGTGTTTGCAGAATGGGAAAGATCTGCTGTCACCATTTCACAAATGAAGCAACTAGTCACAGAAAAGTAACTTCCCTAAAGTCACTCAAGTCAGTCTAAAGAGAGGAAAAGGCAAATCTTTTACTTTATGCCACTATGGTCAAATTGCTGGATTTGCCGTAGAAAGGATTCAAACTGATTCTCAAATCACAGTCTTCTGACTTACTATGACCAAAACACCTCATAATCTTCTATGACAAAAATACAGCACAAAATACATATCAATGAGTCACTGCTGATAACAAACTTATTTCCTTGAGACAAAGCCAGGTTTGTCCTTGGCAACACAAACTTTCACTCAGAAGCAGTTCTAGGCATTCTCAGGACTAGAGATTTATTCCTTAATATTATACCCTGCCCCACCATCTGAAGCTCCAATTTACAATCACTACTCTTCCAACACATTCCAGATCTGCTCAGTTTTAAAAACAGCTAATAGATGATCTGCATTTCACCATGCCATACCTTTATGCAACTGAGAAATTCAGCTAAACTTTATCTGTTTTGTGATAGTTTCACAAAACACATTAAAAAATGTACCCATTGGTTTTACACTTAGTTTCTCACAGCAAGTAAACTCCTTTCACTAGATAGTCAATCCAAAAGAGTAGTATTCACTGACAAATAGAAACCCAAAATGACCCAGCCCTTAAGCAAACTTGTTTTTATACTGTATTTCACACAGAAAAATGTAACACGTCCTTTATCCTGACAGAAAAGTCAGCCTTGCTCTTCAAGGAATCTGGAAGACAGAAAATAAAGGATACCTTTTTCTGCCTTTTTTTCAGTAATGTAACTTACCTGGATTGCTTTGGTTACTGAAATGAAAATCTTTTTTTTCTCCTTAACTGCTTCTCTTCTACCAAAAATTTGCCACCTACACTTTATATCATGTCCTTCCAAAGGTGTGTGGAACCTGAGTGATCATCCAAAAATGTTCACCTCTTCTTTATTTATCCTGTTTTATTCTCGCCCTTCTTTTGCTTTTCTATTCCCGTGCTCTTATACAAGTCCCAACAAAGGCGTGTCGTGGTTTCCTGCCTCACCCTACCCTTCATATTATCTGACACTTGCTGAAAAATAAGATCTGCCTCCAGGAATCAAACTTTATTGAAAGTCAAAATGCTCTTTCCTATTCGCTCAAGTTGATTAACTATTAAGATCCCAGACGAAGGTATAAAGGCTTATATCAGGGAATGTGAACATGCATAGCAGTACTTTCTGATACATGATCTGATCTGTTGGGGAATTTTTTTTGCAGGAAATTACTTAGCACTTGCTGATGCCTCTACAAAGCTGCCTGCAAGTTAAGCATATTCTGCTGCTTGCAAATACAATGGGCTGAGTTACCAGCTACTATAAACCAGCTGAAAACAACTCAAGACTGATCTGAAGTGTTTTGCCAACCCCACAGATATCTATCTCTATTCAGAAGACAGCAATATTACTATATAAAAATCCACCAAGTTAAGTAAGAAACAAAATTTCTTCCATACTTCCTGCCAACTTCTCCCCGCACAGGAACTGAAGCAGAAGGGCAGCCATGGTGGGTGAAAGCAAAGCTCCATCCAGCTCAAGACCTGCTTTCTTACCACAGCTGACAGTAACAGCACTGAGAACACCAGCTGAACAGGACAAGCACATGCAGATTATTTTCCTGGTGTACAGAGTCAAAACAGCACTGCAGTCATTCTTTGACAGATGGTTTCCCATTAGTTTGTCCAATTAGTTTTTGAATCTTCACATTTTACAGAGTCCTACAGCAAAGATTTTTATAGCTTAACTGTACCTCATGAAAAGGTATTTCCTCCTACTGAACATAACAGTGTCATTCAGTGCCCTTTGCTTTGTAAGAATCAGGATTCACCTTGGCTTTTCTTACCCTACACATATTTTGACAGATTTGTTCTGTTGAATAGGAAAGAATTTAACACTTCATGTGGATTTTTTGCCCAGAGCTTTTGAGGGGGCGTAGCCTTGTACTGCCAAGATGGTGCCCTATTCTTTTAAGTTCCATATTGGAAATTTCCAAAGGTGTGTAGGCACATGGCTGCTCTACAGCACTACATTCCACTACAAAGGCTATGCCCCTCTCATTGGGGATCAGCACCTCTTCAAAACTGATCAATTCATCTCCTAAATCCCAGATCTTGTATTTATATTCACCTTTAGCCAGACAGATATTTACGCAGCACAATTTCTTCCCTGTATGCAGGAAGCATCAATTACTGTGTTTTTGGAACACTAATCAAAGTACACTTATTTGTCTGAACAAGCTGCATGTGGTAATTAAGTCATTAAGAGGTACAGAATTCAGCCTGAGACCTGGTCAAACTGCACTTGGCTTTAACCCTTGAACAAAATTATAAAAGTGGCTTTAGCTTTCTGAACTTCATGCTCTTTGAACATGACACAAAACTGTCCCTCTTGTCATCAACTGCACCTAAAACCTGCTCTTCATTCATCTTATTTTACATTCACTTTCAGCACAATCCAGTGTGTACTTCAGACACAAGTTATTCAAGGAAAGACAGCACTGAATGCACTGGGCTATTCTAGTTCTGGAAAATCTATCAGTATGATAGATGAGAGACTTACTGGAATGGCACAGATTTCACTGGAGCAAGACACAAAACCTCACATCTTCAGAAGAAGTTCTCAGGATTGGAGAAATTTTGATCCTCCTTTACCTCTGTAATAATTTTGATGAAATAAGAAAATTACAGTATTCTAATCCCTGCAATGTTGTGACAAAGATCCTGGTTTAACTTTTATTAAGAAGAAAGTGCTCAAGGAGCATCTCTTCATGGGACATTTTGCCAGTTTCTCACTGGAAAGTTAAAGAAGGTGGACATAGGGTATAACATGAAGGTGATTTAAAAGAAAACTGAAAATAAATCACATCTTGAGAGCCTCTTGAGAATTGACTTCACATTTAACAGGGACAATATAAGACAAGATGGAGTTGAGAGTGCTGCGGGCTGAAACACATTGATTAGTTCACCCAGGTCCCTGCAGGACAAGTGTCAACATCAAGGACATAATTTAGAGAGGTCCTGAGCTGCTTCACCTTTTACTGAAGTCAGTGATTGTCTCAGATACTCAGAGTCATCTGATGTAAATCAGGTGTCTAGTGGCAGAGTGCAAAGAATTGCAGCAGACCCAGCTTCAGGTCATCAGCTGCCACTCCTGCACTAACGGTGGTGTGTGGACTGGTGGTTAGAGCAGGGGTGGAATTGTGAGCTCCTCTCAGAGTAACAATCACCATCATCCCATCCCCCAGCTGTCCTGCTCAATTTTGCTTGTAGAAGCTCTAGAAGCCACTGAGGTAGAGACACTCCTGTTGAGTGTAACTGGGAATGGTCTACCAGATGCAGAGTTTGCTGCTTTTCCTGCTCCCAGCACAAGAAGAAGCTGCAGAGACACTGAGCTTTCCATTGATGTCTCAGTCTGGCAGTTAGAGACATCAAATAACAGTTGAAGACAGCACCATCTTCCTGGTGAAAGATGCTCCAAGAGTTTACGGCACTTGATGCTGGCACTGAAAAACTTGAGAAGATGAGGCAGAACTCTACTATGCACATTCACTGCTCCTGGAGGTGGGCTGTGCTACAGCACATCTGAATCGCTTGTTACTCGGCAAGGGGAGTCCAAATACAAAGGTTTGAACCAGCTAGTATTGTCGTGGTCATTCTCTAAAAGCTTAAGGTATGTTTATGGTTTAGAAGCAGACAAGTTATGATAACTTGTCACCTTCAACTTCAAAGGAAGCTGTGGATAAATAAAATAAGGTGCACATCGGTCTGATAATTCTGTCTTGATTGGCACATAAATTACACAACTCGTGAATCAGCCAAGAAGCTGATTGGAATAGTGCAGGCCCACACAAGGATGATTTGCACAAGAAAGAAGAAGCCACACCTATTTCTGTATAGCAACTGTAGCTCCCTCCATGCCTTGGTTTTACACAAGGCAGCCAGGCAGCCACTGAACCAACCAGAGCTTCTTGAGTCACACCTTGACTCAATGCCCTGAGTCCATGGTTTGCACATCACTTGGGAAACTCACCATGAGTAACCTTGGGCATGAATAAAAGCCTTGTTGGGAAGTGATCATCTTTTCTGGGGTGCAGGGAGGTGAGTAATGTCAGGATGCAAAAAAACTTTGCTATCTCTCAGGTTCCAGGATACTTCAGTGATCAAGAGCCTTGGCTGTTTGTACTCATTAATACAAAGATTGTACAGCTAAGGACTGCCTTTCCTCTCTCCTGGCTTTATATAGCATTCCACATAGCTTCACAGTGCAAACAATAAATAACAATATTTATAATAAAGTTATACCTTCAAAAAACACAGTTCCTCAACAGCACAGGACAAACCAAATTGTACTGGCCCAGATAGGTGGGGCTGGACTGTTCTGCTGGGGCACAGCAACTGGGAGGAAGCTGCTAAAGACTTGGGCTTGCTATTCATATCTCCATGTAGACAGGAGGAGTGGGTCTTGTCAGCAGCTGTAGACAACTGTGTACCTGTGCTCAGAGACAGGTCTGGACAGACACCAGGGCCCTGCTGCTGCCATGGTGCTCTGCAATACAACTGTCTAATACAACTAGCAAGCAGCCCAAGGACTGGGGATGGACACACGCCTTGTGTCGTGTGTCTGGGACCACTCCTGATAATGTAAGTTTTGGTGACAGATCAAAAAAAAAAACACACCTGTGACCTCTTAAAGGCCCCCTTGTCCCCCATGCTGCTTTTTATGCACGTCAATGCTTGGGCACATTTTACATCTCAGTACAGGTCAGGCTGTACAGCAGGAGTTGGCTGGCAGATCCAGGAGTTATCACCCATGTCAGACCCACCTCTAATGGCATCAAGGCTGCAGTGTAAACAGATATGTGTGCAAAGGTGACCTACTGTCATCTCTCCCTCCCCCTCTCTCCACACCCCATCCCACTGTCCCCATGGAAATTAGGGAGCTACCCCAGCTGTCCAGCAGACCACAGCATCTGTCACGGAACAGGGCTGTGAAGCAGATGAGCCTGATCACTGCCACTCTGAGGGGTTTCACTTCGACTTTAAGTGAAGTAATTTGCATCCATAAGATTCTTCTCCTTTGAAGTGCTGGCATGATGAATAATCCCTTTCACTTTGTCCTCCAGGTAAGTTGCCTGCAACACAGACTGCATACAGCAGCACAGCTATGAGCTGGACCGAGGCTCTTGTTTGATGCTGGTAGTTATTCCCAATGAGCCTGCTGCCCAATCTGCTTGGTCAAAGGGAACCAGTCCTTGACTATTTTATTTATCACACAAGGCAAGCTGCATTCACAGAACCAAATAATTTCCTGTCCCCTGGATTTTAGAGGGCTCTGCCTGTTTGAAAGTCCACCTGTGAACCCTTAAAACAGTTTTACCATCAGTGCCTTTTAGACAAAAACTATTTGTGCTAACCTCACATATCAAATTTTTCAAGTAGACAGCAAAGGGACACAACCGGTGCCAGGTGACCTGGCCTGTGGTGCTGCCAATACACATAGTGGAGAAAAGTCAAGCAAGCTGTTTACAAAATACTGGCACCATGGGGAAAAAACCAAATAAAATACTTAAAAAAACATCTTTCTGGCAGCTTGGAAGAAAATAAGGTATGATTTGTGAATACTCACCAGCATATCCATGGTTCAAATTTCAAGCAGTTAGTATTTCAAACAAACAATTCTACCAGTTCTACCTACGCCAGTCCAAAGCCTTCAAGTTTAAGCACCCTTACAAAAAACAATACAGGGAGAATTGCAGTGCAAACCGCATACAAGACAAAAGCTGGGGACAAAAGCTGGACAAAAGCTCTGCTTATCTTGGAGATCTGCCTCAGA